ACGAGGAATTCAAGGTGGATCATTGGTGGGGTACCAGATGTTTCTATTTGCGTGTATGTAAGTATGTGTGTATGCACGCGTGTACGTATGTGTGTATGCTTATCCATGTATTGATTTATCCTCACGCGCGACAGTAATGAGACGACACAGCATTCCAGGATTTGGATAAACTACAGTGGTCATCACGAGGACATCAGGCAGTCATTCCAGTCAGCAACAGACCTCCAGTGTTTAGAGGACACAACGAACGTCTCCCGTGCGTTACTGCCGAGCTGCTGCCAAACAAAGGCCAGTGACCCCGACCCGGTAGGCTATCTGACAATGCCTGCATTTAAGCATGTCCTTTCTCCCAATCGTGAATGCGACCCCTAAGAGCTGCGGTGTAGCACCGCTTCTTGCAAGTCTGAGAGATGTCGGGCACGCCGCCGAAGCAGATCGTAGGCCGCTTCCTACATGTTCGAGCGACAGGGTCCACCCCGTCCGCTCTGTCAGTGTTGACACGCTGTTTGGGAAAGAAGTGCCGGTGCGCAAACAATCAAGACCTTATTCAACCAATCCTGGATGATTGCACAGTCACATCAGCACATGTCCGGCCTGATTCCAGTCCTCATCAAACCCCTAGGGAATGAAAGGATCTGAGGACTGTCGTGCGGCCTAGGCTATCCGGCGACATTCACCGGTCCCTCTCATAAGAGGTGACTGGTCGAGAGAAACTCCTCGAAAACGCTTTGGACTTCTTAGGTTTTGATATGGGCACAGCGGGCTCGTCAATATTTCAATGTTGAAGCCTACTGACTTGCGCTACTCTTAGCAGGAAGCATGCTGGCAGTCTTACAATTTGAACACTGCTGACCGCCGACTGTAGACGCTAAATTCTGCAAGAACATGACGTGTGCAACATGTGCCGAATCTTGAGCGAGCCAAGCTAGTCAGTTAGCTAGTTCCGACCCGACCGTATCTTCCGGATCAAAAGGATCTTGTTCGATCACATGAGATCCAGAAGCTCAATCCTTTGGAACGAATACACACTCGGCACTCTCACTGGAGCTGGCTGTCCTCACGAGAGTCAAGACACATTTTTTAGGCACGCAAAGTATGTGTCCCGAGCCTCCAAAAATTTGTCTGTGCGCTTCGGTGTCAACAAACTACCCTCTTGCCTTAATAAAATTCGGCCGCAGTCAGATCAGAGATGCTGCTTCTCCCTGGAATCACTAAGATCCCCAGAACCCTCAAGCAAAGCAGGAGTTGCTTGCCGGCTCATCCCATGCGCCTCAAAGCTAAACCCAAGGGCCCGAATCGCCCGGAAGTGCAACCAAAGAACTTCCCCCTGTCCCTGTCGTCCTCAAACATGGCAGGCTACGCCGCTTGATTTCCGGCTGCGGGCACGGACACTCCAGCCCTGATGGGAACGGCGAGAACACCTCGTGCGGCTCTGTGTAGTGCTTGGACAACAACTGTCGGCGGTGTCGGTGCGCATAACTGATCCACAAGACTACACCGTCCCACAACTCGTTGGTCGCCCTTCCGACAAGCCCTCCGGTCCCCCCCTTGCATTCGTGCGATGGAGAAGGCCGTGCGTGGTCTGACGGGATTGTCTAGTTTGCGCGCCTGCTGCCTTCGAGTAGTATGGTCCCCCATGTATCAGCAGTCAACACTTCGCAGTCCTGCTGGCTCGCGCTCGGAATCCGTCAGGCTACGACGGATGACTTGGGAGAATCGTCCGGTCTGGGCAATCGGAATGCAATCGGACATCAAGCTGAATGGCCGGGACCACACAATTTTCGACATCAAGCCTCGGAGTCAGACCTTTCTAGCCCATTTAGTGACGTTTGGGCTCCATTTCCTTGTGAATCCTGGCACATGATAGTTGCAGGCAAGCTTCATTAACTCACGACTTGTGCTTCTCGTTCTTGCACTTGTCCTGGCTGCTGTTGCGAATGCTTGGAGGAGGCAGGAAAACAGTGGTGTCAAGTCTTGCTAGCGCAACAAAGTATCGTAGCAAAGCAAGTGTGCGCTCGCGGTGCGAGTTGGCCTGAAATCCCAACAACCCTCGGGGTCCAAGCCCACTGGACCCGCAGACTTGCTGAGGCAAGTGCTCACAATCATGGCGATTATCACCCAGGTGCGTAAAAGCTTGAAACAACAGAAGCTCAAGACAGGAACCGTCTTGATCGTGAACACTGACTGGCCATGGATGCTGAAATCAAAAAGGCGTGCACATTTTTGTGCGACTTGTCTACGATTCAGCAGCACTAGTACGGTAGCATTCCGGCTCTGGTGAGTGGCAACAGTGACTCACAATCGTCCGTCCTGCTTGCCTCGGGGCAGCCATGACGGCCTCTGTCTGGCGGGTTCGGCGATTGATTCGGGTGAGGGCCCGTTTTTGTGCGCAGGGTGACTGCCCCTTCGATTCCCTGAATGCCCACAGCCAGTCAATTCCGATACATTCCATACATCAAATCGGTCGCGGCGGCACGTTTCGTTGCAGATGCACAAGCCCGGTCTGGCGAAGATCGCCCCGAGGGACTGCTGGCTGCTGGCCGCGGGATACTCGAAACCCTTAACTTAAAAGACTCACGACCTTCGTCGGTACACCGCATCGATGCAGCCACGATGCCGAGACAATGCCCGCTGAGGCGGTGGGAACGGCACTTCGGCACCTCGAGCAGGTATCTGTTTCGACAGACTTGGAAGACCCGGGGCCGTGTCAGGCAACGGGAGCCTGGCTTCTACGTGTACCAGTACAAGCCAGCTAATGATCTAACGGAACTCAGCTTAAACTTGCGACGCACAATCCAGAGTCCGGAAGACCATTGGTGCTGCTCACGTTCTGCGCGTCTCCCCCACTGTACTTGCGCACATTATGGGGTTGGAGACTGCTCCTGCACGACGGCTGCAGAACCACGTTGCCCGGATGAGGCCTCCGTTGAGGGGTTCAGGCACGACACACAGATCCGTCCGGCCACATCCATTTCGCTCGTTCTCCCGAACGGTGCCAGTACTGGAGTATCAGATGGGTGGAAAGCATACTAGCTGCGGTCCTGCATCCCGTATACAGGCATTGGGGGAAGCCCCTCTCGCCGTGCCCGCCGTGCCCTGGAAAGCATTTTTCCTTCTCTGTCCAAAGGGGACAGGATGGGGTCTGGTGCTCTCCCCGTAGCATCTTGCCGGATTCCCAACTCCCAGTGGTCTCCTGGAGTTTCCTCGCGCTGTCGGGCCGGGATGGGGGTGGTCATGGTGTTTGTGGTGATCTGTCACTCTACGCTGGCATAATGCGCCGATCTCCGTCTAGAGTGCCGTCCGAGTGTGGCAACCGAGGCTCCGAAATGAAGCAGCATGGGCTTCATCGTGAACGGAACGGCCTCAGGCTCCAGCACGGGGGCTCAAGGGCTCTGGTCATTTGCGAAGGCCAGGTCAAGGAGTTGCAGGCTAATTTGGCACGCGTTCATCTTGGGGGTTGACATTGAATGCTTTGGGACTCCTCAGAAGCTGGATTTCACATCTCCTTTGACCAACAGCCTCGGAGCTAGGCGCCTTTTCTTGCATGTGTTCAGTGGGATTTGACTATAGCCATGGAAAAAATCACGTTGGGCATCTCTTGAGTTCCGTAGCTCTTGGAATCAAGGTCATGCACGCGGTTGACGTGGCATGACTCCAGGTGTGTTGTGTAGTGCCTTGCAGTGAAGAGCTTTCCTACTCAGAGTAGCCGTGCTACTGTCGACCATTTTGTTCGTGACAACGTTGCGTTCGAGACTCCCAGGGAAGTGAACACGTCACAACATGTACGCGAAGACTAATCGTAGTCAGCACAGCCATGGCAGCAAAGGAGTGCTCGTGATGATGATGGAAAGACTTTCGTCACACTGACGTCACAGCAACACCAGGGGAACACAGAAGAATCATCCTGAAGCTCAAGACCCCGAACCCCCAAAGGGGTGGAAATCCGTGCCCAGCTTCAGTATGCATGAGGGAGCTGTCACCTTGCGGCTCAAAGCTTGTTTGGAGGTCGGAACTTGGCTGAGTCTCCAACGTTTCGTACCGCAATCTCTTGATTCACCCTTGTCAATCCTACAGCAACTGAGCCAGCTGCAGCGTGTCGAACTGATCGTAGGTTTCTTAGACTCCCCCCAGAACAGAGATAATTTTCGAGCTGTTTTTGAGCCCGGCAGTGGCTGGTGCACCCAGAAGCTTCTGGACGCATAAAAATGGCAAAAAGAACATCAATTAGTGTCGTTGCTGTGTTCCTTTATGTTTTTATGTCTCGAAATGCTTCGAAATGCCTCTACTCTCAGTCTAAGGGTGCTGGACCAAGTCTACGTTGCTATCAGCTGTTAAAGCAATCGCTCGGACTTTCAGGTTGAAGCCATGGTCTCCTCTGACAGCTCGCCCACTTCGCGCATGCACGATGTAGTGCTGGGGGCTGTCGAAATCTTACGGCGACTAGCTACCCCCGAGAAATTTTTCCGCCACTGGAGCAGAAAGGCAGAGAAAGCAACCATCCATCTCGAATGTGCCTTATCCGCAGCCTAACCGCGAGCTCAAGACTAGGTTCAGGCATCCATGATTCAGCGGAGTCACGGTAGCGGTCGATAAGGGCATCAAGGGATGCCATGGAAGAGTTGGCCTTGGGCACTGCTCGAAGCGAGAGCCTCCCAACTAGGCCCCTACCGGCTTTACTGGCCATGCACTTTCGGAACTGGCAGTAACTTGGTGCGGCTGATGTTAGGCCTGCCGAATCCTAGCAGATTTAGAGCAGGCTTGGCGGGTTCGTCAACACCAACACTTCCACGGACCCGTGCTCTACAGCCCCATTTACCCAATTCAAGATCTTGCATGGAGCTTAAAAGACTGCCGCTTGTTCATAGGCCCAACCCGACTTGAAACTGCAGCTCAAGAGCATGCACCGTGGCTTTCGTAGCGCGCTTTCTGCCTGCATTCCAGCTCTCTCGCTGCAATCGTTATGGCCATGCATCAGGCTAGGATTCATGACGTAAGCTGTTCTACATGCGATCTGTGGCAGCTGCTTGCGTATCGTCTGGGACTATTCTGCATTGCAATCCGCACGACGTTAGCAAAGCTGCGCCTGCAAGTGGCCAGCCTTCGATCTTGGAGGTGAACTTGGCCGCGGCATCGAGATTCCTCCTCAAGCAGGGTCCATCAGTTCAAATCCGGCGCGGCAACGGGGCATGCGTGTCAAACCAAATATCTGACAAACGGACTCAAAGCCAAATCGCTCAAGAGATCGGACTTGAAAGGCCTGTATGGTGCATCGGTCTAAGACTCCACCTCCCCAACTGCTGAACAACACTTGACATGAAGGCCGGGGTACACATTGACAAAGGCATAGCCCAACGAGGAGCCGTCACGCCCGCGAATCGGGAAGTACAGGAAGTTCCTGATATTCCGTATTTTCGAAGTGTGGGCAAGGCAGACCCACAAGTGAGGAACCAATACTCTGAAAAAATCGCTCTTGCGAATAGGGGTGGGAACAGCAAGCACCAGGAAGTCTTTGATCTTGTCGAACCCTCGGTGCACCAGATGAGCTGTGGCAACAAAAAGATGCCTTCGTCGTCAGTTGCCGAAGAACCCAAGAAACAACAACCGGTGAAGCTATGGCTATAAACAGGCCGCTCCGAAAAACGAATTCCCCTCTTCATTAAAGTTGCAGCGTCACGAACGAGAAGCCCTGCCCTATGACTTCGATTCCTGCACAACGGGCCTCCGACGACATGAGATGGTAGTGAAGCAACACCTGAAGTCCTGTGATGCGGCATGATCTAACTCCTGCTGCGGCTGTGCGCCGCACAGAAACCAGAACCAGGCAGGAGCAAGAGGATTAAAACATATGAGAGAAAGCCAAGGGAGGCTGCAGGGCACTCTTGGTAGGAGGACCCTGCTAGAACCTATGCAGACAGACACTGACAATGTTCGCTCGAACATGCGATTTTGCGAATGAGCCCAGCCAAATTCAAGCTACCTATTTTTATTTCCTTCCTAGGCAGCTCAAGATTCACGAGATCGAGGATGTGCAGCTTTCGGAAGAGATCGAGCAAAGCCTGTCTGGTGTAGTCACCTGGGTTCCAACTTGCAAAGCAAGCCTATAGGGCCTAGGAATGACATATCGAACAGGCGACTACTCAAAGCAAATGCAAGAGTGTCGTGAATCCCAGAAGGAGTAGGCAAGCATGGTTCAATGTAATGAATGAATGAGGCTCTTCTAGCTTAGAAGAGGTCTTCAGCGCTAAGCGTGGAAACAACCCTCAAGGACGCCCATTTAAGAAGCCTGTGATGCACAAAAGTAGCAACGAGCGACTCCTAAGTTTGGGTACGACTCGTGCTGATGCCAGCAACGCCACAAACAGCGCATACTTTTCTACAGTAGGGATTGATCCATGAACCTCCGAAATTTGAAGCAAAGGTGCTTGGAATATTACGCAGGACAAGAGATGTCTGGGTCATGCTCTGGGCAAGCTGATCGTCCTTTGCGGGAATCTCGGGATGCTCTGCCCCAGATTCTGGGAAGCCTCCACTGGCAGCATCGGTGCTCACGGAGCTGGTTGCTGGACTCTCACACTCTGCTCCGCCGTCCGGATTGCGAGCATCCTGCATAAACGTCGACCGCAACAAACAGCAACTGAATCTTCAACACGTATGACCGGTGCTAAGGTGGACGGCAGGATCGCTTAATGAACTCTCATGAGTGCACCACTATATCTGCTTTAGCGAAGTGGGTAGCTCACGCAGCCTCCCCACAGAATTCGGATACGGTGTTCTCTGGGCGACCCTTCATCCGAGCATATCGCATACAAGCGAACCACAGGACGCCAATGCCCAATTGTGGCCTGGATCTGGCTGAGCTACGACCAGCTACCAGCTTGAAGATGGCTTTGCAAAGTGCTAGCGTGTCAACGAACACTTTGGGCAAGCCCTGGCGGCATTCGGCCTGCGACTTCGGAGACTGCAACGACTGCACCAAGATGGCAGCCTAGCAGGATTCAAGGGAGACTAGTGTTGGACTGAAGTCGCTTTTGCCGTCATCAGCAGTTGGCATATCCCTCAGAGTATAGACGGAGCTTCACGAGTCTCATAGCTGCATCCTTAGACTCTGTCCGGGTACAATCGTGAGACTCGCAGCTCTGGCAGCCCCACCCCGCAGCCTGATTTCGAATCTCAGTCCGCTCTCGGTCCATGTCAAAGCTGGGGAACGAAGCGGACTTCCTGAGTACGAGCGCATCATGCCACGTCTCAGGACCAAAAGGTCTAGCCGGTCAGAGGTCCCTGGGCATTCCAACGACGAACAATTCTGCAAACCGCAGGTGTAAGCAGGAGCACCGAGCCAACTCGGCCACGCTGAACTCTTTCATGTTCAAACCATGAAGTGTCCCAATCGAGTACGAATGCATGACAAGTATAGATATATGTAGTTTTTATTTTAGTTGGCCTTCAGGACCGAGGATCGTTGCAAAAAAAGCCGCTAAACATCCAAGTCGCTTCAGGGTGCAGCCCATATCTACTTGAAGGAAGGAGTTCTTGACGTTGAGCACGGTAAACCATCCTGCTTGGGCTCTCACGGCACGTGATGTCAGCTTGTGGTTGGAGACGGGGACTACAGGTTTGTCAGAGTTCTGGAAACGGCTCACTCGGCCTGCTCCTAGTCCTAGGCTTCATAACCCTGGAGCCATGACTTTGCTGTTCGCTACTGCTTGGTGGTCATATACGGTCGACGTGGATTTCGGTGCCTGCTTATTTTGTAATACCTGTCGCCATGCTTCTTGTTATACCTTGACTGACCAAACCCGATTTGCTGTCCGAGAGCGTGTGGTACAAGGTGTACCGGAGGCGCGTCTTCCCGGATGCTGTCTGGTATGTTTGCCGATACAGATCTGGTCACGGGCAAAACTTCCCTCGGATTCTCAAGGCAAAGGCTCGAGCGACAGCAGGTTGAGGTAGGCCTCTCCGCCTTGGCACCCTATGGCCCTATAGGTGTACCTCTGTCATAGGAGCGCAATGTCGACCCCTCATGGCGCGTGGATCTCCGCGGCGGTGAAGGCGGCATGCCAGTCGGGACTGCCAAGGCCACACCGGCAAGGACCGTCGAGGAGCACACTGGCACCGCAGTAGCTGGGCTTCCTGGCGACTGCGAGGCCCTGGCGGAGCAACTTCGGGAGGCTCGAGCCAAGAAGCGCCGCGACAAGCGGCAGAGGCGCAGAGACCGTGCACAGGCCGCTGCCAGTCCTGTTCCTCCAACGGCCGGGGGAGACGGCCGCTCTGACGAGGCAGTTGATCGAGGGGGCTGCCGATGCCCGACACCACCGAGGACCCTCACCCGAAGCCTGAGACCGAACTGCAGTCGCCGCTCTCGGCCGACAACTTGCAGGCTCGTGACGCGCGGAGCACTCCTGAAGCCCTCGAGGCTCAAGGAGTGCACTTCCTGCCTGAGGAGAGAGTTGTGCCCGAACGACGACCTTCACTGGCCTCTTCTGCGCCTACGGACTTTGACTTCGTGATTGCATACCAACAGTGCCGGGAAGTCGCTGAACGTGCTATGACCCCGACGGGGAGGGCTACACGCTTAGCCCCCATAGCTTCGCCTTCGCAACCACAGCCGAGCACACCGAAAAGACGAAGACCACGGGCGCGGCCGTCTGGCCAGCCCCAAGGCTGGGCCAGACCAGTGAGTTTGAGCCAGGGTGTATGGGACTGCCCATCCCATGCGTTCGATTTGCCGGGCACCTCAGGCCGCTGTTTGAGGGAACTGCGGCCTTGGGACTTTTCCTTGTTTTGCTGCCGGTGAAGACCTGATCTGTGTTACACATTGAGGGCCACTGCGCTTTTACTTTGCCAGTGCACGTCTAAACTGCCAACCCTTGGGTACGAACCCTTGTGGTACGGTGCAGGTTGACGTTGAACATACATACATACATACATACATACATACATACATCCCTCGGATTCAGAAGGCCTGGTGCCGTTTTGGGCTATAGAGAAGCGGCTGTGGAATAAGCTTGTTTGTCCGTGCTTTCGGAAGCGCAGCATTCGCATCGCCGATGCCGGCTCATGTCTACTGAGTTGTGTGCATTCCAGAACAACCACATAAGTTCAGCCGAGATCTGAGCAACTTGAGCAGCTGTGCATACCCCAGTTTCGGCGATTTCGTGGAAGGCAGGTGTTAAGCCTCGACTGCCCTCCAGTGCGGGCTTCTTCTGCCGCTTTTGCGCTTGAAAACTTGAGTCTGGCCGACCCCTGTCCTTCGCCTGCGTCCGACTCGTCTAGTGAGAGGATCTGCCACAGTGCATCTGCGTAGATAGAATGGGAGAACCTGCGAACCTCAGTCGCAAGCTGTCGCTTTCAATAGCAGAAAACACACTTTGTAGCAACTCGGAGGTTCCGGCTCTATAGCGCAGTGCCTGAAACGTCTCCGCAAGTTCAGACAAGCAGCTGTTGCCATCGAGCTTCAACAGAGTCGAAAACGACTGGAACCGGTTGAACCGGTACTCTGGTTGCGGTCTCTATGGCGAAGGTTCTGAAGCCACGAAAGGCTTGAGGTGGGAAACAGGCAGCAGATGGCAGCAGCATGAAATGCTCTGAACGACTTCCAGCTCCTGCTTCAACGCAGGCTTTGCTTGATAAGTCGGCGTGGATTCTGCTCGGCCTTGGCCACTCAAGATACTTCAACTTGCGTTCATCATACAAGAACAGGGCATCATTCGGCATCATTATAAAACAGTCTTCGTTCCTTCCATCGTATCTTGTCGCACATGTGCGATCTCCCTGAGAGGGCTTGGTTTAATCCCGGGCAGATGCACCTGGAGGCGTCGCGAGCGGGTGGTACCAGAAGGCTGCTGTCCCCCGGTCCTCAAAAACACAAAACTCCTTGCTTCCATCCACGTTTGAAATCCTTTGAGGCACGCATCCGGCACAACCAAAATCTGAAGGTTTCATGGGGGATATCAAAACTATAGGCAAGACATATAGAGAGATAGACCTCCATGACACCGCCTGAACCAAACACTCTGCAGGAAACTCCGCGTGCAGAAATATCGCTCCTTGCTGCTACAAACCCTAACAAAACGGACCACACAACACTGAGCACCTACGAATCTGCGAAAGCCAGGGACGAGGCGGGCTCCATGCCATGCATAAGTAGCCACATAAAATCTGGCACCAACAACTTGCAATCATGACTGTTGCCGCTCTTGCCTCCCAACCCCTGGCAGCATGTTCCCAGCTGATCTCCTCCGCGATGCCCTACTGCTGAAGACGGTCGACCGGTTGGAGGATCCTCGCCGCAAAGTCGAGGTTCAAGGGTTCAGGCTTGGTTCGTGGAGGGGCTGGTGGTGGGTGGTGAGTGGTCGTCGTGGTGGAGGTGGTGGAGCGATATTGGTGGTGGTATTGTTGCTGGTGCTGGGGAAGGTGGTGGTGGGGGTTGTGGTGCTGGTGCTGGTGCTGGTGGTGGAGGTGGTGGTGGTGGTGGTGGTGGTGCAGGTGGTGGTGGTCGTGTTCGTGGTGGTGGGCCAAGTGATGGCGCGGCGATCGCTGGTTGTACTGTCGGCAGTGGTGGTGGTGCTGGTGGTAGCGGTGGTTGTGGCGGTCGGCATCATCATCGTCATCTTCACCATCATCATCATATGATTGTGCTTATGACGAGGATTGTTGTGATTACGATCATTGTTACAATTATGTTATGTTTCTTCTTCTTCGCCGTCATCATCATCATCATCATGATCTATCGGCACCTGGCCTCTCGGGGCTCTTCCTTGCTGGCCGCCCGGCCTTGAATACACGTGACACCAGCCAACAGCAACAGTGGTGTAGAGCTTCATTCTGCTTCTCGTGAGCGCAGTAGACAGCAATGACAACAAGCATAACAGCAGCATGTTCGGGAAGCGGTCACATCGGCCCGAACAACAAGTCAAGAGTTAGGCAACATGCCGAGAACTTGGAATGGTGGGAAGATTGTCAAAGAACAAGGTCGGGCAAAGGAAGTGTCCAGCGCAGCATCTAAAACTTGGATGATTCAAGTCCAGAGAACAATGGCAGGTGATGCCTAGCTTGCCGACCAAGCTATTCAATGTCAACGACCTGCAGATCTGGACACTAATCGACCCGAGCCTGAAGACAATCTCAGTCTTTAAGCAAAGGCGGAAAGAAATGTGCTTACAGGAAGACTTTAAAAACCCCGAGGCCAAGATGCTGGAAGGAGCATGCTGAGATTGCCGGATCCTTTGAGGAGTTCCAAAGCTTCCAAGGAGCTTGGGCTTTTGGAATTGTCTCGATAGGGGGCTACTCGGCACACCGGACTGTCTATGCGTCTTTTCCTAATGTCATTGGAACTCTTGGCAGGGCAGCAGCATATTTTCGCCGTAGAATCTTCTCTTTTAGAGTGGAGGTCCCTCAGGAAACGGGCAGCTTATCCAGCGTGCGCTGCAATGTGCAGTGAACGCGCATGCCTACGGCTGTGAGAAAGTGGCCTTGAGAAGTTAAACGAGGTTGCAGCTGCTTCCTGTGCAGCATTCAAACTAATACGTTAATGATCATAGGACTTGCCAGGGACCACTGGTCATGTTCTAACGATATCACAGCCCGTCGTGTCTAAAGTAACCTGTCAAGAAAGAGCTGAGTAAGCTTCGTCTGTGTCTGGCCGTTACAATGAAGCCAGTGAGGCTGCTATGTGCTAAACAGTTCGGGGGACCTTCACGGTCGTGGTCGTCGACCATCAAAACCACCGAGAGCAAAGCGACTCCAATTGTTACATCAAGTTGCAGGTTGGTGCTGTGGACACCTTTATGCTGGATAGTCTGGCAACATTGGGTTAGGCCGCATCAAGGCGTCCCAGAGCTGCACAAGCGACGTCAGAGTAAGGCCAAGGCTGTCCGAGCTGGGCCAAGACATCAGTCTGGCCAGCACATGTCTGTCCGCTTTGCAGTTTGGTCTGCAGGAGTCATTGTGGATGTCCGAGACACTTCCGGTTCAGCATGGCTATGAGAACTGACAAGTGATGCGTTGACATTCAGGAGACACCCCATCAATGGCATAGTCACTATGATGGGCATGTCCAGTTGCTTGACGGTCTGCATGGATCTGATGCTCGACTCGAGGATTGGGGGGATACGCTGAAGCTTCAAACCTGTAGTGACGCTGTAGTGGTGGGCTTATACTATTGCCTGTGTAAGCATGAAGCAACGGATAATGCACAACCAGCACGTCCGATGTCCTGTACGGCTGATGATGGCACATGTCGCAAAGCTGACATATCCCTTGCTCGCCCCTGCTCGGCACCTTGGCTTCGGAGCTGCCTGCCTGGCTCGGGAGCACACGCGACCACACATGTGGGAAAGGGCATCTGGAACATCCTCCTCTGTCGTGGGCGATTCAGCGAACATTCAAATGCTGCGCGGAGTTGACAATCTGAGTGTCAACTTTGACAAAGCAAAATCATCACCAAGGGCTCGCCTGCGCCTGCTCGGGCATGCCTGCAACCGTCAGGTGCACATTGAAGAAGGGCTGCGAGAAAGCTCTTCTACATAAAGGCAATTTGCGGGTTCTCGTCTGCAAGGGGCAAAATCGAATTCACCTCTCTGTGAAGGCGGTCGCCAATGCGCCGACCGGGCAATACCCTGCTAATTACGGTAAAGACCCATTCGTTCGGCAAAGGCAAACAGTGACGCGGGGGTCTGCTGTTCATACAAGCTCAACCCCAAATACTCGGCCAATGGCACACAACCACTGATGTTTGAGGATCTTTCCTCCACTTTCCTCCGGAGGAAAGGCTGCCATATCTGCTCTACACAAAAAAAGGATCAACAAGGGATCTTGAACTTTCAACACATTTCAACACTCAGTGTCCTCCGAAACCTCCTGCCCATGCCTGGGTGGAGCGGGGTCTCGGAGCAGCTGGGAACTGAGCAGGCGGCTTAGAGAGGGCTTTTTGTCAGCGAGTCATCCATGTCATGATTCCAGGCAACTCTCTGTCCTCATGAAGACGGGGGAGTGATCAGCAACGTCAAGAAAGCCTGAAACTCTGCGTAAAACAGGCCCAGGCTCCTTTCGGCAAGATCTTGCAGTATACAAATTACAGACGATGAGCTAAGGTAGCCCGGAGAGCCTGGAAGCTGCGCGGAGCCCAGCTTGGGACTCTGGCCTGAGCCTCCCGAAATGTCGCGCTGGAAGTTGGAGCTCTCAGAGTCCCGGCGTCTGCAATGCGGGCACAGACACACACGCCTTTTCCACAGGACTTGGAAGACAAGACACAACAAGTCTAAGTAGTTGGTCCAGCAACCTTCGACATGACAATAATCCAAACTAAGCTTATAAGGAATCTTCACTCTACGAGTACTAGAAGATCGTGATTGCGTCCGTTTCTCCGTTCTATCGCAGTCTGCATCGCGCAGCTTTTGCCCGAAGGGCCCTAACCCGACATCTAAACTCCCAGTCCATGTCCAGATAAAAACCCAAAGGCAACCGCCTCCTGGATCGACTCGCCAGGGGCTCACTGGATTGCCCCGACTTCTCCGGGGAAGGCACCTGATGGGAAGCGGCCAGTGGTCTTTATGATATTATGCGCTTTGTTGAGGTTCCAACAGGGATCCAGGATCTGGGATTGCTTCGCAGAACAGAGCCTTTTCGGCTTCGGTCAAAGACCTGCTGCGTCGACGGAAGCTCTGACACTCAACCCTGCGGAAGAATACTGTCATAAACCTTGATATCGTATTTGCGTTCAATACTATTCAACGCAGCTTTTGGATGGAGCTCAAAGCGACAACATGAAATCAGCTCTGACTCGAGATGCTGACCAAACACCATCTGTATACCTATTTATCTCTCTCTATCTGGGCAGCTATCTCACTCTCTCTCTAGATGTCTGTCTGTCCACCCATCCATGAATAGCATGCATGCATGCAGCATGCCCAAGAATGCATGCCATATCATGCCTGTGCATCTTCGCTGCCAGCCCGCGGTCGGCGGTGCTCCGAGCTATGTGGAATCCTGGCATCCAGAGATCCCAGAACACGTTGCACAAAGCTTAAAGACTTGAGAGATCACCAAGTCTTGTCAGACTCTCGGCGGCCGGAGATGCCTTAGATTAGAAGGAATATGGATTAAGGCTTCGTGCAAGCTCAACCAGCAGATCTTAGCAAGAGCGGGGGGCCTGCCGCTTGTCGGTGCACGCACCCCCGGCGAGGTCGAACGCTCGTCGCTGCCTTGCCTGCCCAAGACACCACAAGACTGCAGTGCCCGAGCCTTCCGCAGCATGACTAAATACTCCTTACATCTGTGGAACTGTACTTGTTGGATCCCGAAGCTGCTGTGTCTCGTGTCCGAACTGTGTCGGAGCTTCCACGAGAATTACAGTAGCCGCAAAGCCCTGTCGCAGAATGTCCCGGCCTGGACGTGTCAACCTCTGCCTGTGGCTCAGGATCGGCAGACTAGGTCAGCTGCGTGTCTGATAACAAGTGACTATGTGACCAAGTCTTGAAGCTTCGGGATCGACATTGACACATTCGATTCGAAGATTAACATCATGAGGCATCGTCTGCAAACCGTGCATCTGCTCCATCGCTTGTAAGCATGTCACTGCCACGACGTTGTACAATCCGTGGTTATGGTCAGGCTTCCGTACATGTACACATATATACATACATGCTTGCATGCATACGTGCGTATATATATATATACACATATATATCTGTGTGCATGCGTGTGTGTGTGTGTGCGCGTGCCTCTGCGTGTACGCACGTGTGTGCGTGCAAAATACCTTCAATGCTAATCATCTGCTGCCGCCAGCCTCTGGCATTCGGCCGGGAAGGCTGCTGTCAAACCTGAAAACCACTTCAGTTTGATTGTGGCAGGTTTGGGGCTTACAGCGCCCAGTCGAGCACCCTTGCATCTTGACATGGAGCAGTGGCGGCGCTTCAAACCGCCATGCTTACATCAGCAAGAATAAGCTATCATGACCTTCCATATTCGAGCAACAGGAACTCAAAGAGTCTTAAAGTTTGTGTTGCCGGCCAATCTGCAGAGCTTCGAGCTGACAACGTGAAAAGCTATAAACTCCCATGCAAACAGAATAGAATCTGACAAGCCGACTTGGGCTTGCCACACTATATATGTACAGATAGTTCAGCAACAAGCACGAAATTGTAAGGTGCAGTAGATACCAATCAGAGTTCTCGAATCCAACATTATATACTTCTCGATATATAAGCGGCGGCCGGCCCGTAACATCAATCATAACGTGTCGTGACTGTTCTCGGGTGCCAATCGTGCTAGCGCCACCGTGTGGTGCATTGGCGGTTTTGGTCATGTAATGGTGCTTGGGTTTTTGGGCTTGGACAACGATAAGTCTCTTTGCCTGTTCGGGATAAGAACAACAGCTCTGAAAATAGTCCTTCGCTACTAGTAAACATCACAATAACAGCAATGGAGTGTGTGGACAATAAGTATGAATATGATGATCGGGATCTACAGGGCACTTACCATTGCCATATTGCATCTTTTCACCGCCACCTCTAATCTGAGGCTCCCTCGTGGAGCTTTGGAAGCTCGATGGCTCGAGGGTCATCTTCACCTGCGCTTTCCCAGACGGTCGGTGGAACAGTATACTAATAGCAGTAATGATACCGATAAGAATATTCATAATAATTATAGTAACAATAATCATAATAATGATTATAGTAGTTTAGGCCGTCTGGCCCTCGGAGGTCGAAGCTCACACGACACGATCAGTTTCTCGGGCTCGTGTGTAGCTTGCAGTTCAGTTTCTGAAGCTGCTGTGAAGGCACAGCCGAAGGAAAACCTTCGACCCTGGAGGGCCCGAAACCCTCCTGCAACGAGTAGCTAGCCTCGTCTCGTTTGACGCTGCTCCAGGCGGGAGCTTCGGGTGGAGGAGCTTCCAACTGCGTGCAGGCGCATGTTGTGAAAACACACGATGCTTTGTTCAGGGGATTTGGATAGCTTGCCAAGACTTGCCAGGAGAAGCCACTCGTCTCTATCACCAGCCCAGACTGATCTGCTCACCGATCGCAGGCTGGCCAAGCTTTATCTGATGTGGCCCTGGCCGCGGCCTTCTTCGCCGCCGCACGGGCCACCAAGTCCGCCTCGAGCCTAACTCGTTGTAGCCGCAATAGAGCCAGCAAAGCTTGCAGCATGTCTCCGAATGGTCTCCTCATGCTCCGCCCAGAACTGTGTTAGCCTTCGGCACCAAAACCCTTTGTCGACGCTGATAGTTACCCGTCTTTCAGGAGCCAAACTTATCCCTCTCAACATAAATTACAGTACAGTAGCATCCCAAGCGACAAGCTCCAGTCTCCGCCAAGCCACATTACGGGTGGTGCCTGAGGAGCCGTCGGTGCCGCAGCGGGCACTTGAGCCTGAACTAGGGGGGCAAATCGGGGATCGGGCGGAGCATTGGTCCCTTTCGTCTTCCTGGCCGTCTACGCAGCATGGATCCTGTTGTCCTGATTATTCGTGCATCTAAACTGTCCAATGTAGAGGCATCAATATGTATAGAGAAGTGCTGCTACGGTATTCCTGCTCCGACTCCAGTCGAGTTTTTAGTCGATGCTGACTTATATAAGTGTCAAACATGCAGCACTCCGTGTTTCAAAACTCATCCTGTCTGGAACAAAGCCAGGACCCCGGGCCGGTGGCATCGCGTGGATGTCTGGTGGCTGCTGTCGTCGCAAACCTCGGAGGCTGGCTTGCTCTGTCTCTGAAAAATGTGATGTGGCGGGTTTTTTACTGGTTTCGGACGAACTAAAGACCAAAGCTCGAATCGATCGGCCTGGGTCCAACGCATCCGAAGATGAATTCACAAAAAAATATCTACTTTGAAATTGCCTGGCAAAATAAAAGCAACCGTCCCTCGAAACGAGGATATTAGGCTTCAGCTCAAGTTATCAGGATCCGGGACAGCGACTGTTGCCCCTCTGTCGGTTGCGCTCAATGAAGGTCTTGCGCCACTTCTCCATGATCACAGAGACCTCTCAGGGCGTGAACCTCACGTGCTGCCCGTTTATTTCATAAGACCTGAGAAATAGAATCGTAAGGACCCTCTCTTTCAAAATCTGAAACGACCGTGGGCTGCTCTTTGCAGGCTCAACCTCGTCGTCCAACTTGTCCACTTGGTCGGGATCTGCTGTTGGTCCTTGAGTGGACACCTCGCAACATGACGGGGGCGAAGCGAAGTGCGAGTGTGCAAGCTTGAAGCTTTGACTTGGGATGGCTTGGGGATTTATCATGGCAATATCTCCCACAGCGCGACAACGTTCAGGTACTCTTTTCGCGGCTGGCGCTGATGTCGGCAGCGAACCCGTAATTCGGGTTCGTCACGACTAGAATAGGATGCCGCCTGCGAAATGTCCGTACTTCCTCTTCGCATATTTCCCATTGCCCTTCCGGACGTATCCTCGCGGTGCATTCAGTTTCGTATAGATACGGGGATCCGGCGCTTCTGGATCTTTGGGTGGTGGCTCCCAGGACCTCGACAGGAGAGAACAGTCCAGTGGGTTCACACAGGGAGCACTACTCCCAAGTTGCAGGCAAGAAGCGCGTAGCGCCTATGATCCAGGCTGAGCTTGTTGGTGTCCGGGTCTAGGCAGAAGTATCTTCGCAGCCACTCGCGTCCGATCCCGAAGTCGAAGAATGCCTTGGTGGGAGCCACCCGCACCCTGAAGCGTCAAATCATGTGTCCGTTGAGTTTGCTTGTGTATATATATATAGAGAGAGAGAGAGAGAGAGAGAGAGACAAAGAGAGAAAGAGAGAGACCAGGCGGTCAAAAGGGCTGCACGCTTGAGAAGTTAACCATCATTTTGTGGTCTCGATGCTTCATTTGGCACCTCACCCTAGACAGAAACCCACGACAGACACTACACAAATAAGGACGCTCCAGACATACAGACACAGACACAGCACGCGCGCGCACACACACACACACACGCACAGAGACAGACAGACAGACAGACAGACAGACTGACAGACAGACAGACAGACCGACCGACCGACCGACCGACCGACCGACAGACAGACAGACAGACAGACAGACACACACACACACGCGCGCGCGCGCGCACGCACACACACACACACGCACGCACAGAGACAGACAGACAGACAGACAGACAGACAGACAGACCGACCGACCGACGGACGGACGGACAGACGGACAGACGGACAGACGGACAGACGGACAGACGGACAGACAGACAGACAGACAGACACAGACAAACAAACAAACACACACGCACACACACGCACAGATATATATATATATATATACTCACTCAAGAACAGCATGATGCCCGCAGTGGTGTACTACCTTGAGTGAGGGTGTATCTGGCAGTATCTGCAGCCCCCAAGTGCTTTCGAGTTGAAGAAAAAGACGGTGTTGCCAGAGAGGCGTTAAATAAAGCTTCAGGCCCTCAACATACAAGAATGGATCACTGCTGGCTTCGCGACCTCCACGGAGGTGTAATCCTCGTAGTGGATGCGCGCAGCTACGGCGATGGCCTCTCCGACCCCAGCTGGAAAGTCGCATGGAAAGTCGCCATATGGCCAAGTCAAGATGATTCATAACAACGACAAACAGGTTCGCTCTAGTTAATGACACACAGAGAGGTGCCTCCCGAGTTTGCCGGGCCACACTCTTCTCCAGAAGGTCACCGTAAGACGTGATGTCAAAGAACCTTATTGCATGACGTACGACACTGTGTACCTGTCTCAAAGGCTTTGTCTCCGAGGTATAGAACCCGTGGGCTCGACTCTAGTCTATGGGTGCCAGCCCGTGCTGGCACAAAGCCCCACAACTTCAAGGCTTTAGCAAGCTCTGTGCATGGATGGAAGAGCATCTTCCGAAATGGTTTGGGTGACCCGGGTTCTTCCCCGGAAACATGTTCGCAAGCCCCACGCACACACACTCACCCACACACATGCTACTGGACCATTTACAGGAACTGCTGGCAACTGCTGATTTACGGGAAGCAATGGCCTACATGTACAGCGGTGCAGTATGGCTTGTCCGAAACATCCTTCGCGCTGAGCCATGCAGCCGGAAAGGCCCAAACGATATGCTGCCTTATACTAACCATCATGAATTCCCCTTCGCAAGCAGCAAAAAGTGCCAACATAATCCGGCAGCCGTTTCATCCATCCCCTCTTGGCACCAGGAAAGAGAGGCCCAAGCGTCGCTATGTGCACCCGGCCGTATCCTTGGCTGAAAAGCTGGGCTTCACACTCGAAGGCTCGGAAATTCGATGGGGATTGATCACAAAGCTTGGTTTAGCTCGCCGGTGCTACTCCGAGTCGAGGGCGAGGCCACGAAGGCTTCTGATTTAGTCTCGCTTCAGTCATTGCTCAGGCCGGAGGAGTTTGTCGTTCCTGACGCAACATGTAGACGAGTTCTGGAATGTACGCACCTCTCAAGGCGGACCCCTGCAGCGACGGCCAAGCGTCTGAGCCGCATCTCCTCCTGGATATTCCTCGGCTAGGCATACTCTGAGCTGCAGACTCAAGGCATCTCCAGACTAAACAAGTCAAAGAATGGAGCCAGTAGAAAACCTCAGTTTTTTAGGAGATGCTAAGAGGCATCAGGAGCGCTTCCTGCTCGGTGTGGCTCAACGGAGGCGGTGCGTCCGGATTCCGGGCTACGTGCTGCTTCCAGGGCTTCAGAAAAGGCAGATACACCAGGTCGTCCTGCACGCAGAAGGTTTGTGACCACGGGCAACAAGACATCACTCTGATGTTGACCATTGTTGACCTATTTAGACTCCCCTTATCCTAATTGCATGCAAAATTCGAGGCGGCCAAGCGGATGTAGAATCATGGATGTGGTGTAGAAAGTGCTCGACGCTCAGCCCACAGCTGCTGCTACTGCTACGGCCCCAACACGAGTCTATTGCCGGGGAGCGGAGCTGGCATCCTTATGGGCTTAGGGGACAGTATAATGCCCAGGATGGAATTCTTGCAGAATCTTGCCAGTGTCGCTGAATAGTTGGCGGGCTTTGGAGGACAATGCCTGGAAGGATCCGGACGGTGTCCTCTACAACGAAATACTCCCGCAGCCATGCTTCAAGCCACAACGGAGGGTCGACATACCTTGGCTCGAGCTTGTGTGACACGCTGACTTTCTACCTCTCCCTCAAGACGCACAAACACTCCCATGCAGCAAAACAAGAATAGCCCCCGCCCACCCACTGGCCCACGCAGTGAAACAGCTTGCTGGTGCAACAGCTGCGGGGCATGACGACATCCGACCCTTGATTGTCAATGATTGCCTTCAGAGTAGGCCGAGGCACCTTTCCGCCAACATGATCTCGAACTCCAAGGCCTCTCGCGTGCGAAGCTGAGCTTGCCGGAATAAGCTCGCGCCGTTCTGACAGAGGCTGCCCTTTTTGTGCCTCCTCCGAGAGCTCAAGTCTCTCCAAGGCTTCATCGTCGCCGAACAGCTGCTCCTCGCAGCGGAGGCTTTGTTGCTCGAATACAAATCCTCTTCTTGGCTTTCAAGCCACTGCAACATGTAACAGGTTGCCAAACTTAGCTTCGTGCATGCAGTTTGAACGACCATTTTCTGCCACTCTATGCAGTGTCTGCATGGACCTGGGACCGCATCGTGACGATCATTTACATCATGACGAAGGGCTTCCAAAGATACCGGGCAACGCAAAATCGCCAATGCTCCAATTGGAAGCGGGGATGCCTCGTTGTCGGAGAACTCCAAGGTATCCTTGGGCGCAGGCAGCAGGGCTGCAGGCTCGCCAGGGGCTTTCCGCCAGTATCTTTCCCGCGCTGCCAGGCGCCACCTTGGCTCCGGGCATCTGCACCCTTGCTGTACGAGTATGTATGTATGTATGTACGTATGTATGTATCTCGATGTATGCAATTAGGTGTGCATGTATGCATGCATGTATGGGTGTGTGTATGCATGTGTGTATGTATGTTTGTTTATGTATGTATGCATACATCCAAACACACACACACACACACACACACGTATATATATACACACACACAAATGATCGTCTGACACATGCGCATACCTACAAACATACCTGCATAAATGTATTCATTCATTCACGGAAGGTGTCTCAGACAGCGTTGACCGATGCCTGACACATACATTTCAGTATATTCATACAATCAATCAATATATATATATACATATATATATATGTATATATGCATGTCTATGTAATACAATTATCCATAAACACTTGTTCATACGTATGTGTGTGGGATCGTTTGTATATGTATGTACATGCATAAGCCATAAGCATATCTAGAAAGTATATGTACCTGCATCTGTATATGTCTAGTTGTATATTCCAGTGCGCATGTGCATGTGTATATGAATGGATGCCTGTCTCTGCATGTCTGTCTGTATGGGGCCGTATGTTCATGCGGAGTGAAGGAAAAATTGTGCCTGTTTCCGCCGGGGCACTCTTCCACCTCGGCGCTGGGCGCCAGCCCGGCCTCGTAGGATTGCTGGCGACCCTCGGGCGTCAGCTCCACCTGCAAGGCTGCTCCTTTCACCCGCAACCGCTGCTCCATGATTCATACGTTTTAAGGCGTATGCCTCTCCGTCCTCGCTGCCTTAAGGGCAACATTGGACCCCAACTGCCGGTTCTGAAGAAGTACATTGGGATAGGTTGGGCCCAAACTGGCCCTGGCCTCCTCGATATCTTGAAGCTCGGAGGGACGGTAAAGAAACCTTGAGGTGCCGGTGGTTCAAGTGCTTCAATTGAAATTTTGGAAATAATAGGGACTGTCTTCGCAGGGTCTATTGAAAACGAAGACTTGGGCTCCCTGAGCCTAGTGGCTCCATGAGCTCCTGGAGCGGGGCCTCGCCACCCTTCTCCTTCCAAGAGGAAGGACTTGAGCACTGAAGTGTGTGGTGTGCAGAAATCAGGGTGCTCTTCAAGAGAGCTTCTGACCAGGAGGCTTTGTCTACGCCTTCGGCCAGGGACACATGGGTCGAGTCCGAGGCGTCAGGCGAATCCGACGCAACAACACTCTCTCCGCGTTCAAGAATAAGACCAGACCTGGAAACTCGATATCCTATGCCTATGGGCTACCGCATGCCGGTATAGAGAAGGCCAATGCTCGGGAATAACTTGTAGCCCTACGCCCCTACAAAACCAACCCCAGAAGCTGGGAGAAGTGGGCTCCATGATGAAGGCGGCTGCACGGAGTGTTCTGTAGAGCCGGAAGTGGAAAAACCGGTAGCTGTCGACCCAAAGGTCCTCAGGGAGTGAAGTGACCCTCAATGAGTCGATTGAAAGCAAAACAAAGGAAAAATGAGAAGTTTCTTCTTTGTGTCTGCGAAAACGAAACGCCCTGCGGCGGTCCCCGTTGGGTGTCATACGGAAGCCCGCTTTGGGAAGCCACCGGTTCAAGGCGTGCGAGGGCTTCAAGGCCAAAGCGCGCAGCACCGCCTGAAAGGCAGCGTCCGAACCAAGGCCGATGATCAGCTACTTCACACAGAGACTATTAGACGGCAGTAATTTCAAAGCAATTTCCTGTAGGCCACTGCGCATGCACACATCGTCGGGCCTCGAATGGAAGCACCCCATCCCCGGCGCTCATGAGGAGACCCTCGATTCCTCGAACGCAGCTCGAGGTGTTTCAAGACAACTAAGTGAATGAAAAGACATACACGGGAAGTGTGTGCGATTCCACGCATTGGCAAAGAACTGTGCTCATACACATTCAGAAGGCGCCTCTTGACACACCGATACAACCGTCTGACTTTTCAAATCACCGGACCAGCCATTGACGCGTGCCTGGCTTATTAATTATATCTTTACCGTCCCTGCCAATGCTCGCCTGGCGTCTCACCCCAGATCGTTGCTGTTGCCAGCAGACCTAGCCTCGAAGCCTGAAGATCTATGAATCTATGAGATCCATGAACCCTCTGCCTCTGAGCCCGAAAATGTAGTATGTAAGACTCCGATCACGCGACACATCCGAGAGGCGCTGCTGGAGGCGCCTCGCCGGTTCCTCCTTCGTGGCAAAGCCCGCTTTGGTGAGCAGGTGTGCCGGTGAGCTCCTCTGCCACCATTGCGAGACGCGGAGGGCCCAAACATCGCTCACTGTCGTTAGGCAGAAGGTCAGACTCCGAAAAATGGTGATGAACATGACAACTCTATAGCAATATTCAGCAAACAGAAGTTAATTACAACATAATCAACTGGTGTCTAAGACCAGGTCCTGCGCCCTGCCTTTCGGCTGACTCTACCGGCGGCCGCCGCAGCTGCGGCCACAGCAAAGGCACCGCCCTTGAGCTTCAGCTTGTCGCCCTCCGCCTTCGACATGAAACATAGTTCTTGCAAGAACGCAAACAACATCAAGAACATAATATACGATTACTGGAGCTTGGTGGGATAGTTCCTATTATAGTGTCTAGCGACAGAAAGTGAATGAGTATACAATTCACAGCTAGCGTGCCCTATTGTGATTCATGAAACTCCGCCCGCATCGGCCTCGAAGACATTTCCGCCCTCGAACTCGAGCAACCACTGCTTCTTGCATCCATACCTCAGCAACGAGATTCCAGCAAGAGCTGCGGGCTCCTTCCGTATGTGGTATGCTGCCTGAGCAAGGCACTTGCCCGTGACATAGTGCGCATCGGCAGAGCCACCCGCGCGATGTAGAAAGCGGAAGACTTGCCTAGCCACCACCGCTTCTTGCGGTGCTTGCACAGGCATGTCCGCTCAAACCCGGGCTGCCGGGGGAAGGCTCTCTCGCTTGAGCCAAAAGCTCGGGTGCAACATAGCGTTGTTTTGTCCGGTTTCTTTCGAGCTTCATCGCAGCACAGAGCTGATCACTGACAGGACAGGCCCCTGCTTTCAGCCAGCCAAACCCCCCTGCCTTCATCAGCTCCTCGAGCCTCAGAGCGATGAGCGGGATCGTCCCCGGCCGAATTGCTTCTGAAGATTTCGGCCAGAAGTGGCATTGAGAGACTTCACGACGTACTTTTAGAGTGTGTATTGGAAACTGTTCCGGTCGTGATAGGACGGTTGGCACGGACAGGTATAAGCCATAGCAAGACCCCACAATTGCCACCGATACACAGTTCGGTTCAAAGGCTCAGAGAACGTCGAAATCCTCCAGTGCTGCCGGGCGTCAGTTTTTGCACTGCTGGGTTAGCATGCCACGCCTTGGCTTCGAATTTGTTCTGGGGTCGGGGCTTTAACAAGTAACATGCTTGCATGCATGTATATGTATGAATGCGAATGTCTGTACTGTGCGTGTTCGCATGTGCATGCGTGTACGGAAACGTCCCAGTAAGTCAGTCAATCAGTGAGGGATAAAGTACGTGAAGCAAGCAGACAAGCAAGCATGTACGTTGCTATGTACATCTTAGTTACATATTTCTTATATATGAATGTATAGAGGAGCGTGTGCGCTGGGCCAGAGATACGCAGGATATCATTCCGGCTGGCCTAGACGGGTGCAATGCGGAAGTTAAGCAGTTCGGAAACGAGTTCCCTGGCCTGGATGTTGCTAGAAGCCCTAACAGGCTCAGCTGCTGTAAGATAACTCTGTGTTGCCGTTTGATTGCGAGCTCGCGGAACAAGATCGGCTGATTCTTGCAACGCGTGCTGGTGCTTGCACTTCCGAAACGCTGCTCTCGAGCTCCTTCCCGTTACTCCCCCACGCATGGGCTCCCTGAGGTCCTCGACCATGCCACCCAAGCGGAAGATGGTCTGGCAGCCCGCATCCTTTTGCTCCGGCTTCTCCTCAACGACTGTTCTGCGTTTTCTCCCGGACCCTTTGGCACTCCCCGAGCTGAGAGCTCCTGCACCTTGGCTTCCTTCACATGGGTGCTGGAGATGGCATCCAACTGTTTGGCAGCCTTCAGAAGCAGGAAGGCTGCAATGACCTATCTGTGTGCCGCAAGCTGAAGACTCCACGACATGTCGTCGAGCGGTGAACCAAAAAAAATCTACGTACTCTCGCTACATACTTCACCTCGACTGCTTTTTCTTGGAATGTTTCGTCGTCCGTAGCCCCGAAGATCCTCGCCCTGGAATGCGCAAAAACCAGTAAAGGAAGGCCGAGGCCACAAAGATGTTGCAGCGCGTAACGGTCCATGGAAGCAAACATCGATGAACTACCACGTGTTCCCTCTCATTCCTCCTTCTGATCCTGCCCCTCCTCCTTCTCCCCGTGCTCCAGCCTCGTCGCCGAGTCGTTTCAGCACCTGCATGGCTTCGGCGGAGTTGGTATCGCCTCGTGGAAACACGGCGAACGACTCCATACTCAGGTTGCAAAGCGACGATCTCAGTCTCAGTCTGATTCTCACCCCGCTGGCAAGATCTTCCCTTCCGCCCCCAGGTAAGTCACACCAGCCACCCTCTCCACGCAGCCAGAAAGAAAAGAATTCCCAGCACAAGCACCAGCTGGTTGAGGAAGGGTGTAAGGCCCGAGTAGAATACGCACGTCACAACAAGAAAACTTCAAGCCCATGGGAGGGCTGACGGGAAACACGTGTGTTTCTCGGCGAATCTCTGTGTGCCCCTGGCTTCTTTGCGTGTGTGTGTGCAGTCCAAAGTGGAACCATCAGACGACTCTTCGAAAGCGTCGGTGCACTCGCAGCAAGCATTTTCATGACAGCCTGAAGCGGCTAGCAACACCGGGTCCTCTAAACCGCTCTGCCGCAGATTTTCAGAACCAAAAATTCTTGAGATCAATGTGAAGAAGTTGGAGACAACCTCAACTCAACAAGAACAACGAAACCCTGCCAAACAAACAGGCAACCACTCTACTGATGGCAAAAGCAAACATACAAACACAAGGCCACCGTCTCGGGATTTGCAGCACTTACTTGTTCGATGTGCAATCTGGACTGACTGAAGATTTCAGGGTCCATAGAGCGCTGCTGACAAGACGTGGGCATATATATATATATATGTACAGAATTCGGCAAACCCAGATGCACAGAACCCGCCTTTGGCTTCTCCACTCTTCAGGGCATTGAGCAAGCCTGCGCAAGTTGAGCTAGGGGTGCAAGAGCGAGTGTGCTGTTCAAATGATTCAAGCCCATCACAAGAAAGACTGTTGCTTCCAGAAACGAACAGGGAAGCCTCCAAAATTCCAGTAGCTCTGGAATCACCAGTTTGGGGAATCCGATGCTGGGCGGAGGTGCCTTGAGCCTCCTCGAGGACGTCCCAGGTTTGAACCTGGGCCGCGACCTTTTCGAGAGGTTTTTGCTGAGAGATGCAAAAATCTGCACACATTGGAACTCCAAGGCTGTTCCTTTTGTATGAAACTCGAGGAATGTCGGAATATTCCTGGCGACTCTGATTCATGCCGTCCGAGATTCGAGGGTTGGGTCTAGGCCTAGGCGATCACTGGCAACAAGTGCGTCGGCACAGTTCAGGCACCTCCGCGCCGCGCGAGCGTCGAGTCGAGCCACCGTTGCTCTTGACGCTCCGGGCCTGCAAAAGCGATTGTAAAAAAAATGGCAACAGTGGTGCTGGTAGTGTAGAGTCTTTGCATGTGCTTATTTTTCTGGTTAGTTGCACACACACTCACTCACACATACACACTTACATCACTAAACCCATACCCTTTGGAAGCACTACCCGCTCAACATGATAACATGCTACTGCTTCTCGTCAATCACAGAATAGCAATTCTAAACAACTAGCCAACAGCTGAGCAGCACAAACCGGACGGTGACATCATGATATTCACACATCATTTTCGGGCTTAAGCCAAAAAAGTCTGTGGGGGCCGGGTTGGAACAGTTGTCAGCGATTTCAAGTTGCATCCTGTCCATGCGGACGGAAGTGCCTACTCCACACGAAAGCTTTGTACCTTCAGCACTGCACCGCCTTGTGGCTCAAAGGCATACCTTCACTGGCCTACTTCGCGGAACCAGCCTGCTGCTGTGCTTCGATCAACTCCTCCAAGGGACCACTGTCCTTCCAGGAATCGAGGCTTGCGGCGTTATGCTCTGTCGTGGATAAGGTTATTCCGGTACTCCAGTTATCATGTCCCAGGAACTGATATGCTCGAAATTGCGTACACTCCGGCTTGCGGTGATATCAGTGCCAGTGAGAACGTCTGCACCACCCCGTCGACAGCCGAGTCCCATTCTAGAAGTTCCGGTGAAGGCCCCCCAATTCTCCACCAGGAACCCTGCAAGGTCCGTGTTCAAGGCTTTCTCAACCGCTTTGAGGCATGCCTCTGCACCTCGATCACCGTTTTCAATTCGATGGGCTCGAAACTACCATGCTCACGGGCAAAGTTCAACCGAGCTTGGATGAAGGGCCTCGTGCCCAGCCTCCATGTCCTGTAGGCATGTTTTGGTCATACAGCTCATGAGCCGTGTTTGTGCGGGAATACAGGATGCAGCCTTCGAGTTCTACCGTGGCCGTTGGCCGGCCAATAAATCTCGGCAGCATCCGCTCCACATCGGTTGTGCAACCTACTCTGAGCAGCTCTGTAAATTAAATTTTCATTACTCTATGTTATATATATAGCCTGCCCGCATGGATGCATGTGCTCAAACGATCTTGTACGTACGGTTGGCTGCAGGTGCTTCTCACGTTCAGCAAGGAGGCAGGCCTGCTTAGCTAAAGCCTCTGAGGCGAATACGAGCCTGCGATACGAGCCAGTGGTACGGAAATCTGTGGCACCTGAACTCTATCGCTGTAACCTCTGCCAATATATTGGGACCCCGAAGACTTTGCTGCAAGTTGGAGGCTGTCTCAGGATCGGACTCGTTTTCTGGTTCTGGGCCACCTGATGCACCAAGCGGTGGCCTCGCCCAAGGACCGACAGTCGTTTCGCAAACGTCGCTTCGGAAACGCCAACCATCGCAAGCTCTTAAGCAAGAACGCCGGAATTCCACACCCCCTCGGCCACCTGTTTTCCGCCGTAGCATCTTTCGCACTCTGTGTGGCAAGCAAAAGATGCGATGACATTATATTGGGCATCGTACCGCCAGGGTAAAGTCCTCAGGTCTGCAGCCACACTCCGAGTTGATCGTCTCACTGACCGCCCGCGGGCTCAGAGGTTGGCACTTTTTCCGGTGTCCCCTTGCACTCCAAAGCGATCTGTGACAAGCGCTGGGTCAATTTAGCCACTTCGCCCTCTTCTTCGTCCTCCACCTCTGGACAGGGGGGCCAGAAGCGCTTGACATGATTCATCCCCATGACATTCCTGTCCTCTGTGCCGAGCTGATGGCAGATGGGCACCGACAGTCGGCACCGAGAGGCCATTCTCAACGTGCTCCTGCAGCTTTGACACCTCGCTGTCCAAGTTTACGGTGGTGCTTATATCGAACTTCAACCTCTGCCGCGCCACACATCCGGTCACATCAAATCCGGGGCAAGCTCCTTCGACTTGTAGGGGCCTGCCTGGGGCAAGTCAGAAACGAAGAACTCATCTTCGGCGTAGACGCAGAGGTTTAGCTGCAGCTCTGGCCCACAGCTCGGAACCCGGAAAAGGCTGTCCACCTGCGGCTGTGCAGTGCGCATCTGCCGGCTTGCGGCTTGTATAGATGGCAACATGGGATCAAAGGATGCGTGTCGTGTGCCCGTGCTTCCTGGCGATTTCGTCATAGACGCTGCGACTTCTCTCGTCTTGGATGGTATCCATGATCTGTTGCTCCAGACCGGAAGCTTTCCTCTCCAAGGCTGCTCCTCTTCTTCCTCCCGCTCCTGCTCCGACTGCTTGTGGATGATACTCTCCGACTGCTTGTGGATGATACTCCGGAGCGTCCTCCCTCGGGACCTTCTTGAGTTGTTCTTGTTCGATGTCTGCGGCCACTGGTGCTTAAAGCTTTCCAGGTTTCGTCGCCCAGAAATTAGACTAATTCAAGAGCTATGCCGACTTGTACCAGGTGATCACATAGCAAGGTCCTGGTGCAAGGCGGCATGGCGCTTTAGTCAACCTTTCGGGGCGACGAAACCTTGGGAGCTTAACGAAGAACGGCAGTCTTGTCGCAGCTTCGCGGCCATCTGCCCAGCCTGGTCTACAACTCGCAAAAGGCTTTTTTGCTTGGACCTGGAGCTGCATGGGGGCAGGAGCTTAAGCAAATGTACCCTAGCACGACATCTCCCTGGCCAGTACCAGCAACATTTAAATTGCGTCGAAGGGATTCGAAGAGACTTGATGATTTACACCTTCCCAACCTATTAATTGGCTTCTCTACACCACCTGCTCAGGCTTCTGGATGTCCCACGTCAAGGCATGCACCGAACGCAGGACTGTACTAGTATACTAGCTGAATATGCCGCGGCCTGCGACACGCTCGGCTTCGGAGGAGAGCCCGCCGGCAGCCTGAATCGCAGAAGCTCGGATGGCGATGTTCTCAAGTGTGTTTCAATTCTTCGTGTGGCCCTGTCGAGTCTCCTGCAGGAGACTCCGAGTGCTCAAAGAGCTGTGCCTTTTTGACCCTATACTTTGGTGTAGGGAAAATGACGTTTACCTGACCGGAGCCGAAGAGAGCCGAGGTGGCTCCCCTTTCCAAGGAGGCCACCACGGCCAGCGCCGGGGCGTCCAGGCATGACTCGAGTTGACACAGATCTGAGGTTTCGGATCGATGCGTGGTTGGCCACCTCTTCCCCCCCCCCCCCCACCCACATTTGCAACCACGCTTCCTGCACGAGCAACCGCTTCGGCCGGCCGTATGAGCGAACGATCGCTAGTGAGTCAAATCGCAGGAGGATCAACGGACTCGCCGCCAATTGGGAGACCTCACCTGGTGTACGTGCGGTGCCGGCATGCTGAAATCACCATGTTTCGCTAGGCTTGGCTTGAGACAACCGAAGTTGCCCGAGCCCTTGGTCAATGCTCAAGTACTGCACATGATCATCGGGGCAGTTTGTCTTGAGGTAGAATGATGTGATGTCCGCGGTCTCTTCCATGTTTTCCACTTGCCAAACTTGCTCGTTCCGCCACAAGTTTTCCAGCAATGTTAGAGTCTCCTTCAATGGCTGGCTGTCGGTGGCGATCATTGCGAATGACGATGCTGTTGGGGCGATATTTTCCGTGCCCGTTATAACCCAAGGCTTCGAATTTTCATCAGAAAGCCGTGCTCCTCCGGTTTGCTACATGGCGAATCCACCGTTCTGGCTGCGACACCACTCCAGAGGCATCTCGAGCAAGTAGAAACCGTCCACATATCAAGTGAGCACGTGCTTCTGGCAGGGCGGAGGCCCGTTGTTGAGGCAAGCCTTGACTTCAGCCACCAAAGTCATCACCCGAAGCAGATAGCTGGCAAGGAAGCATTCTGAGCATATTCGAGCATCTGGCCTCCACTTCCTGCTTGACCTCCTCCAGAGGCGCACGGCCGCTTTCGTACCTTAGAGACATGTCTGGTTCGAGGTGCAAAGGGGGTCTTCGGGAGGCAAACAAAACATGAACTGACCCCTGGCTCACTTGGACACGCAGGCGCGTACGACTCTCTCTCAACTATCTTCCCCGCGAAAGTGCGGCTTATCCTTCCACTCCTAAGCATGGCTTTCCGTGTTGCCCTATAGCTCCCACCTTTAAGTGCACCTGAGGTTCAAGCAGCTGTGTCGGACCCTGGTCCTTTCCCCGACTGGGCAAAGAATGGCGTCATGAGCTCGGGTGCAGACAGCCCCAAGATGCATTCGGAGACTTCTCCGAAGCTTGCTGTACACTTGCGGGCTGCTTGCCGCGTTGACGCCTTTACATCGTGACACTTGGGAGCTCGGCCTACGTGACACGGGATCTGTGAATTACTGGCCACGCGCGGAAGAGCTCGGGACGTCGGGACCAACAGCAAGTCGCCCGAAAGCAAAAGCTCTTGGGAAAATACTCCAGGGATTGTTGGAGCGCCCTCTTCCGTGGCCACCTAACATCGGACCAGCTGCACAGAAAGGGTGATAGGTAAAAGGACCTGGGAGATCCGCGAGAACGGGGCTAATCCTTCGATCATCCCGAAGACCATAAGTGAGGAGCATCATCTTTGACCAACTCCTGCCGGAACAGCACAGCTCTGTGCCAGATTTGTCTGCGACAAGGACCCCCATTCTCCATGAGGGCCAGCCAAACGAAGACTTTTCAGCGGAAAACTCTTGGATGCTTCCATTCAAGACGAAAGCCTGCAGTGCTGACCTTCAACCAGTAAACCATACAGAGCTCAATCCCGACCACGAAGAATCTAAAACACTGCCTTGCACGCAGGCTGGCTGAGGATCGTTCGCCTTGCACGGGTTCCTGAGCTCGAAGCTCATCGCTCGGACCCCCCAAACTATATGTTTGCTGCGATATTGACTAAGGCTCATGCAACCTGGTCATCGTCGCCCTACCTACGGTCCTACGGTGAAGCTGCGTAAAGATGTGTAGGACTTAAATGCCGAAGCTTGAAGCAGCGAAGCCAGTCATGAGATCGCAAGCAATCGTAAGCATGGTCCTGAGCCACGAAAGCTCCCAACCCATTAACCCTGAATCTGCCAAGCACCCCTATGTAAGTGGAAGGGGCATGAACTTGAGATGCTTCAGGAGTTGAACCTAGCAGCGCCCTGCCGGCAAGCTGAGCACAAGCCGAGCAACAGTCCCAAGTAGGAGCAATGGTCGCAGGTGTGGAAAAGACACCGAAACAGCGAATACTGACCGCTGCAGCTGTCTTGGCCTGGTCAAATTCTAAAGTTCTAAAGGCTCCATGGCCACCGGGCCCAGAACATCTGACTGCTTTGAGCTGGCGTGCTGCCCCCGTCTCGAATCCGGAACCGGGATGGACAAAGGAATATGGAGGAGTTGTGCATGATGGTCACGGGGTAGCTGATACTTGCAGTCTCACTTCGTATCGGCGGCTAAGACTTTGTGCGAAAATCACAGCTTCCACGAGTTGTCGCTGCCAAGGCTACAAGCTTCTATTGCCGGATCTGTGGAGATTTGTTGCTTTATCCGACATAAGGCAGGACACCCAGGCCAAAACATATGTTTTACGAACTTACCACACGCCCCAAGTCTAGGTAGCTTTGCAAGTGTGTGAAATAGTCGAAATATTCGGAACACTCAGTGTCTCAGGACGCAGACAGGCATTGATTGGTCTTGAAAGGTATGTACAAGCTTTCGTCCATTCTGCATAGTTTCGAGAGGCCTAGTGATGCTACATATGCACACGTGCGTATTTGCGATACGCATGCATGTTGTTTGTTTGTTCGTTCGTCTGTCTGTCTCTTCGTCTGTGGATAATAACACGTTACCTCCATGCCCCCGACTTTGCCACATCCGTGGCTCAAGATCATGAGCACTTTGCGCAGTCCCTGGAAAGCGGCGCGTCGTGACTTTCAAAGTTACTCTGATCTGAAGCTGAATGAGCAGTGCACGCTCTACTTTAGGGTAGCTAATTCTGGTACGGCGTACTTTCGCATGGTAACAAAGCTGAAAGCTCCAAGGAACTTTGGATAGAAGACATGGCTCTAGGAGCAGAGCGAAACTTTGCAGGAAAGTTTCGGCTTCCTTTGCCTGAGACTTTCAGCGGCAATCCTACCGACTGGGAAGAACGGCCCTGGAACTTTAAGGCCTGCATTTCGATGTTCGAGACAGGTGCTGTAACTTTGCTTTGACCGAGCAGAAAATAGAGCGGATGAGTCTCTCGATGAACATTTGCAGGTGACTTTGGACCCGGTGATGTTGATGCAGACCTAACGGCAAGCCGAATACTTTTCTCCCGGAAGTTACATTGCTTGATTTCAGAACTTGTGAAAGATTCGGCGAAACTTTCGTTCGACAGAAGGAAGACAGCAATGGTTTGGAAACTTGGGGAAGACTTTTCAAGAACTTCTCGCTGCCAGAAGCTACGAGGAGCACGTCGCTTTTGACACAGCTCTTCGACTTCAAGTTGAACCCACAACCTTTGCAAAGGACTGTAACATTTCGGAAACAATCAGTTCTCGATGTGAAAGACTGTCGGGCCAACCTTTGCCCGATGGTGTTCTTGTGGAAACTTTGTTGAACACGACAACAGGGGCTTTGCGACAACAAGTGAGACTGAATGCCCGAACTTTGCAAAGCTATACTCAGGTTCGTGAGGTGATTCTCGAATACCACCGTTCGCGACTTTTGATGCATCCGGTTGCACAAACTTCGGCGAATGCAGCTGTTCACGGAGGAGCTCAGACTCCCATGGACATTGGCGCTGTAGCGGGGGCTTTGTGGAAAGGAGAAGGAAGAAGAAAAGGACAGAAAGGAGGAAACGGACAAGGAAAGAACTTCTCGAAGTCAGCAGGAAAAAGGAAATCAGCATTGGAACTTTGTATCAACGTTGCTGATATTGCTGGCGCTCTCGATGGAGCCTCAACTCGGCACTTTCACCGAGAAGCTCCGTACTTTTCTACAGCTTTCAGCTATCGATCATGGAACAGCAAAGCAACGTGTACGAGGAGGTCGTAACTTTCTGTTACTGACCTAGTTAGGGATGTATGTCATGGTACATGGGCTGAACCAGTACAATAGCATCGCCTCACGCGTTGCACGTTCAGCTGATGCATCTGCCAGTTCAGAGGCAAATTTACTAATTATGTCCTTCAGCGTTCCGACTTTGAATGCGTTCCGGTGGATGCGCTTTTGGCCAGTACTTTGGAACGCCCTGCCAGGCTTTAGGCCTCTACAATGCCACGTTTCAGGATCTGCACATCCTTGGGCACTTTTCTGCAATGGTTATATGCATCACTTTTCGGGACCGCTTTTCGCCTTTTGGTTGCATTGGGTCCTTGGTTGACTACCTGATTTGCTTGGGCAAGCGGCAAGCTGGTCGTTGCACTTTGATGGGCTGACCATCCGCGCTGTACTTGGATGTACCGTGGTACACGACGACGCAACTTTTGGCACAACGAACCACTTTTCTCTTCTCCGAGGCCACTCTTGAATGCTGTAGATATGATGCATTTGTTGCAGACTTTTGCGCAGTGCAAAACGCGGCTTTGCACCACGAACCCCCTGAAGCCAACTTTCATCGTGAGCTTGTACTTTCTCCTACGTGTTATACATTGTGTGAGACTAAATAACACGTTCCCTCCATGCCCCCAACTTTGCCACATCCAGTCCCTGGAAAGAGGCGTGTCGTGACTTTCAGGATTACTTTGATCTGAGGCTGAGTGAGCAATGCATGCTCTACTTCAGGGTACTGTTTGTGTGCTATTCTGGTGCAGCATATTTTCGCAGTTTGTTTGTTGGTTCGTTCGTCCGTTTGTTGTTCGTTGGTTCGTTCATTCGATCCTTCGTTCGTTCGTTCGTGCGCACTTGCTTGCTTGGTTGTTTGGTTGGCTGGCTGGCTGGGTGGTTGCTTGGTTGGTTGTCTGTCTGTTTGCATGCATCCATGTAGCATCATGTAACTTTACATGCGAATATCAAACAATGTCTACGCGTACACCAGGCCTGCAGCGCAGAAGGCGGGGCTACCTTGCGTCGTGGTATCGTACCATACCTGCCCAGTATCTCTCCATTCCGTTTTGCACGAGTGCCTGGCCTTGGACCTACAGAAACAGTCAATGCCCTCACAGACGTAGTCCAGACACCTCAGCCTCAAAGAACTGTGGAGGCTTCCGTTGGCAACTCCACAAGCCCTACAATGCAGCATGAGTTGCCTCTGGCCCGACATGGCGATAGCCAATCAGCCAGGAAGGTGGCAGGTGAGGAACCGGATCCATGTAGGACACCACCTTCGCAAAGATGTGGCTGTTGTGTTCAGTCCTCTTTGCCATGGGCAGCTGGCTTTTGGATTCAAGCTTGCACAGAAGGAGATTCCCATCGGCTGCTTCTTGAAGCTTCTAAGTCTGCACAGCCTGGAATCGACAGATCACGAATAAGGGTGTCGCAGCAGACGCGGCAACACTGTTTCGACTGCAACTCGGCAAAACGAAAAACAGTATTTTAAAAAAAAAACCCTCCCCGTCGGGCACCCTGAAAAATGTCACGTTGGCCATGCGGGCTGCGAAAGCGCTTACCCACGCGTCGTTCCCGACTCCTGAGCTCACAAATACACACAAAGATCAGGCTGGGATACATGCTTTGATTCCATTGCAGTCCACATGAGTCGGCGTCAAAATTACTTGTTCATGCTGCTTATGTTTTTGAACTAGCGCGTCCCCTATGGTTCTCCGAGGAATTCGCCTAAGGCACTTGCAAGGACCAAAGTAGAAGTAACCCTATCGTTTTAGCGCGTCCCCTATCGATCTTGGGGGTTCTGGCTCAACAACTACCCTCTACACTAAACTACATTAACGATAATTTTGACCCCATCTCACATAAGGCCACTCTTGACTGGTTTGAGTTGGGGGCGTCTGCGTTCAGTTGAGAACTAATCCTCTGCTATGCAGCGGGTTCGGGGGGGGGCCTGTGCTTCGTGCCCGGCTTGCCGCCAAGGCGCGTGGCTGACCAAATGTGTAAATCTCCTGACGGCAAGGGCGGCTTGAGCAGGTTTGTCCAGTTCCTTATCCGAACACCGCTTTCGTCAGGTTGATGACTGGACCTCCGTGCACTGATGTCCTGATCTACACTAGAATCTATACTTCTACTTTGTATCCTCTTGTAAACGCAATTTATTTTTTGGGGGGACCCCTTTTCCTTCAGCTATCCACGTCCGGAACTCCTAGCAGGATGCAGCTGGCCTTGATGCGATACTTGTCCGAAAGTTGGAAGGCCGCCAACAGGGCCATAGCACCTGCATTGAAGCAACAAGCACCTGTGGTTTGTTTAGGGGTGGCCTGGCCCTAGTCGCCACTCTGACCGGTTTCGGCAGCATGTGCGTGCATCAGAACATGCACGAGACGGCGAGTCTTCGTCGGGTTGCTTTGTAAATCATCACTCAACGAATCTCCGTTGCTGGCAACCCGGTCTCTGGCAGCATATGCTACCCATCGACACAGCACCGAGGCCTTTGCCTATTAAGCAAAGGGCACGAACACGATGGTCAAGGTCAATGCTGGGATCATCGGGCCAGTGCGCGACACCATGGCAGTATCTAACAGCACAAGGCACTTGAAGTCCCCGACTGCAGTGGCGCAGGTGCCTCCCAAAGAATGGCCAGACATTCGCAATGGCTTCGTCCCACCTTAGTTGACATCTGGCGGCGGGCACGGACCATGTACGACGGAAGGACATTACGGGGGATGTGTGAATCATTTCTGCCCAATGCTTTCCACCTTGCCGCCGCGACGTCCAGGCCCTACCCAAGACAATGAATCATTAGCAAGAGGTCGGACAACCTTCAGAAGGAAGTGTCCACTCAGTTCTTCGAGGAGTGGGTGGGTGGGTGGGTGGGTGGGTGAGGGTGGGTGGGGTGCATGTGTAGCTCTGTGAGTGTTTTCTGAGCCATCTTCTTGCCAGAGCACATCCTAAATCCTCGAGGGCTCTGTTGGTTTCGGCTGCGAGGCTGCCCCAGCTTTTGTAGAAGCCTGCCAAGCACGGTTTAGGGAATTTTTCCCCTCTCGATCCCGGTTTGATTGGCTGACCATCCTGGGACATGGCACCGGCAACGTGCAGCTTCGACAGTCTGCACAACAAGTACTTGTGACAACTGCTTCTAAATGTTTCCCTCTGAGGCTTACAGCGACAGCGATCTCCAGAAACAAGGGTCAGCACCAACGAAAACAACAGCCGAGCCTCAGGCACTAGCCTATCTAGAGCTATTCTAGAAGCCTGCCAAGACAACAGATTCGGTAGTCTAGCGGATCGCTTCGAGTAAGGCTATGGAGAAATTGCAGCTGCAGTAGACTTCGACAGTGACATCCCGTCTCAAGTATGAGTACATTGGCGCTTAGACCCATGATTCTCCAAGTGTTAGGTTCAGAAAGGTCAACCTTCTCAACACCGGGTGCCTTTGTGGACCCGGCAGTGCGGGCAGGAGCCTGCGCAGTCAGTCGACAAAGGGGAGACAAGCAGGCATTTGAGTGAAGATCTCTTCTTGTATGCTCTGCGATGAAAGCTGGAGGAATGAAGAGCCTGTGGCTCTGCGAGGCAAAGCAGCTGCGAAGCAGAATCCCTGCAACGCCCTGAACTCCGCAATCGAACCGACACCTCAAGCGGCAACCGAGGGGCTGAAAGGCTGTTCCAAGAAAATGTCGAAATCCTGCAGACAACGTTTGCTGTGCGCGCAAATACCGGTACTGCAATTTTATTCTCGTGTTTGACGCATGGTCTGCCTGGGGGGCGGCTGAAGCCTGGAGAGACGAAAACAACGTGTGACTAACAGCAAATGTGAAGCTTCTGTCAAGCGCACCCAACTACCAAACCTGCCCTACAATTTGCAGGTCCCATCTCAAACCACGAATGGACGGCACTTGTAACACAAGCTGCAGCTCCCCCAGCAGATAGTTGGAGATGCTGGTGGAGCCCTTGAAGGTCACGAGGCAGTCGCCTGCAACAGAGGGAGAAGTCGGATCTAAGCCGGTAGGGCTGTTGCTCGCAATCTCAAGGAGAAGGCAAACCCTTCCGATCTGCCCGGCATTGGTTGATATGAATAATAAATTCTATAGAGTTGATAACTATTCCAGCTGTTTTGATGCCAAGGTAGTGTTCGTCGCCTCCAAATGTCGCGACCAGGCCGCGGGTATTCAGGGGCCCCTCACGAAGGCCGCCATGCACAAAATCACTTCGCTTACTTGGGCCGAGGTTGTGGGGAATGGATTCAACAGCATTCTGGATGGTCATGGAGTCTTCGACCGCTTCTTTTTTGCAACAGGCCTCGTTAAGGCTTCGAGTCCTACAACCTGGATGCAGTCAGTGCCGGTAGCTAGTCCCCTGAAAGAAGTCCCACCTATGCAACCTTGGCCAGGCTCAGCTGCTTGGGGCCAGTGGGCCACTCTTCTCAACTGCAGGCTGAATGCCGCAAGCGAGTGAAACGTCATGAACCACGGAAAACATTGCTGTGGAAGTCTACAGAACTTTGGAAGTGTCCCCTCAACCGCGCGTGCAGCATCCCAACTAGTCATGATAGTCTCAAAAAATAGAACTTAACCGAACAAAACTTCCCGCGTAAGCTGACATGGGCCTGAAAAAGCAGATGCCCGGACCCCTTGCACACTACACGCCAAGAACGTGACAGCCCAAGGCACACTGTCTTCGGTGACATGGACCTGGCTGGACGAGGATTTCAAGCCCAGGGCCCGCCAGTGAAGCACAGGGGTGCTTCAGAGATGTGCGTACAACCCTTGCTGTCCTCGACTTACCACGAATAGGCACAGGTCCCGTGTTTCGCACAAGATGATAATCTGATACAGGCCAGTCCGTTTACGATGATGTGGACTTGGCGGCGCTGTCCTTGCAAGATGGCATGTGTTTCCTTGGAGATGCACTGAGTGAATCCCCCGTTGTGAACGGTTCGCCGAACGAGGGGGGGGCTCCTAGAACGAAGGTGCAGGATCGGATACAGCAATTGACCGACCTTCTGTTCGAACTGTTGCCCCGCCTGCGACACTTCCGGCAACGCGTCACACGCTAAGCCGCAGCGCATGGTCGCCAGCTCGGCCTTCACGCAGTGGATGGAAGCTCGATATGGGCCCTTTCCTTCCCCGAAACCATATCACGAGAGGTGGTGTAGCTCGGGTGGGTGGTTCAGTCGTTGTGTGCCCCGTGCTGTTGACATACGGGATTCCTTTGCAAACGCCAGGCATCCTCGCCCTGAAAGTCGCAGTGTCCGGGACAGGCACAAGCCCGAAACACAACTTCCTTGTGGCTCGCATTTTCCGAATATTTCAGAACCAGGCAGCACCTGCATTTCACGAGGTGGCATGGCCCAAACCATCCCACACCTGGCCTCGGGCATGAGCGTGAGCTGCTGGATCCAAAGGTATTTCTCCTCAGGGCAGCGGCACAAAAGCCAGCATGAATCTGCAGCGGGAATCGGCTCGCGGCTCAAGAATCCACCCAGCTGCGCAGAGAACTTTGAAGTCCCAACCTGGCAAGGAAGCCGAAGCTTCCACACCGACTCTCCAAGCTGGGCGGCCGCCATGGATTGGTCGAAGCCAGCGCCGAGGGCTGAAGCGCAGCGCAGGCCTCCCAAGGATAAACTTTGCTGACAGCACGATTTCCGCGACCGCTCTGCTATTGCCAGTGCTGCCACCACTGCTGCTGCTGCTGCTGCCGGACAAAAGATCTTGGGAATCTAAGTACGTAGGACAAGAGTGGAACGACAAAGCGAGAAGAGGGCAGCGACACCGAAGCATCACATGTGACCACCGAACAGACTGAGCAAACGACTTCATATTCGGACTCTTTACTCCCCGGGCCCTCACAGCATTGTCAAACATGTGGACAAAGCTCAGCATGCAGATTGCTGAAGAGGCCTGCCAGGACTCCCAGCTGCAAAGCGACAGCGCCCAGCGCCATGGCTGCGTTGAGTCCGGTTTGGATCCCTGTCTGAGGCCGGGCCAATATTTCTGGGCTGCGGGATGCTGTAGCACAACTGCAGCCGCGAGTCGAGTTTGTTTGGGTGGCCACAGGGTTGCAAAGCAGGAGTTGGGGAATCAGTATAGAAACAGAATACCCTCATGCTTGGCGGCTGAAACACAACTAATGATATGTCCCTGAAAAAAAGGATCCACTTCTTGCAGCAAGAAAGGCGGAAGACAATGACTGTGACTAACATCAACACATCAGAAAGGGCCAAATCTAGCTACCTACGGCACTTCCGTACGACCCTGCAAAGCGCCGAGACCGCGGCACTTGGATGATCTGTTTCCATCCTTGCACCTGACCGAAAGGGTGAACCAATCAAGGCTCCTACAGGCGTTCCTTCGGCTTCAGAGCTCTAAGCTCCTAAAGCTTGCGCAGCTTCCTTGTTTTCGATTGCAGCCGGTCGTGTCGGACGTGTTTCAGGAGACCAAAGGTGTCCCAGGTCCCAGCAGTCTCTGGGCTTTCACTGCATGCTTCCCGTACGAACCAGCCTTACTTCAGAGACCTGGGAGCGTGTAGAGAATAGTCCTCATGTCTATGAGTCTACAACAGTTTCGTCGACCTTGCGAACATTGCGCAAGTGGAAGACTGAAAGGTGAGTTCGAGAAATGTTCTGTATGAAGCGTGGGAACTGGAATGCCTTTCTCGTCGCAGGCAGCCGAAAACAAAAGCTGACACATTGATAAAGTCTGATCTGTCAAGTCTTTTGAAACGAGGCAAACGGTAGCTTTCTTTGCTCGGGCTCTATGAAAGGCACCAGCTGGCTGCCATGAAGAAGACTAATTATGTACTGCATCACTCGGGCTTCTTGATGGGCAGGTCCTTCATCCTCGCTGTGCCACAGATCAGCTCATTGCATGATGCTGGATAAAGTCTAGTAGGGGGTCGTGCGTGATGACTACGTGCTAGCCCGCGCATAGCTATATGCGGAATGCCTGCCTGGTTTCGGCTTTCCGAGTCGTAAAACTTTGCATGTCGAGGTGCTCCCGAAGGCCATTCAGAAGTGACACTTGCCAGCAGTACCGAAATCCACTCGCTACGGCTGAACAGAAAGTAAGACCCATCGCCCAGTTCCTGCAGCCCTTAGTACCACTTCCATGCAGCACAAGCATCGCGGCTGACAGCTGACCGACAGCTTCATTGAGATCGTTCCCTATTGCCATGCCCTGCACGTGCGTGATGATCCAGGTCTTTTCCACCTCCGGCTGGATCGAGATGACAGGGGCTATGGGACGTACTGAACCTCACAATCGTGAGCGTTGGGCACATGAGCTTATCTTCAGGAAGTCTCCTTACCAGGCTCGCTACCACCTAACTTTGCCACCTGCTGCAACTGTCGCAGATACTGACTGGACAGACAGATGCAAAGCCTCAAGGCGTTGAGATAACTTCCCGAAGGGCTCACTACTGTCAACACGTTCAGCACTTTTACGCCTTCTGCGCTTCTGCAACGGATCCAGATTTGACGTTCTTGACCGTGAGCGGCATGGTCTTCATGAAATCCAAGCCTGAGACATTGGAGCGAAACGGCTCGCGCCAGTGCTAGAGAACCTGAAACTGCTGTCGGCTGACTCGGAGTCTTAAAATAAGCCCCAGAAATTGACAAAGCCAGCCGCAGCACCAGACCTTCGGAGCGACACGAAGCCCCTAGACGCGCTGCAAAGACGAGCGGCCCAAAGGCTTGCTGGTGAAGCGAACCTCCTTTATGCTGTTGTCTGGAAGCCTCGGCCCAAAGCAGGGTGCTGAACATCTGAAGAGCGCAGGGCTTCGCCAGAACGGGACTCGAAACGCCCGAAAGCCCGAAAGCACGCTTAAGCCATCCCGTCTCAAGATCTCTGGCAAAGCTGCTGAAAGGTCAAGCAGGTACCCTCCTCCACCGGCTCAAAGGCGCCGAGCTCTTCGGTTCCCTTTGCCTCGAGAGGAACAGACACACACAGATGTAGACACGTCCGTGTGCATATGCCAGAACCACCTTTTTGATATGAGTAGTTTCCGTTGTGCACATGAGCTATAAATGCATACATGTTTTCTTAGTTTCGGTGGAGCCAAGAAGGTCTCATCAGCTGGACTGCGGGCAACCTACAGACACGAGACAGCATGCGACCCCATGTCACAGCTTGCCAGATACAGAAGCTTGCTAGATGCTAATGATAATGGTGGTCAATTGGAGAGTCAATTGGACACAGCCCCCCTCCGCAGGCAAGTGAGCTTCTACCTAGTTGCTGAGTTCCTCGGCCCCAAACTAAACCTTGAAAGTACGCAAGGAATATGTAAAGACGCTAGAGGTTGCCTGCGCAGCCTGGTCCACAAAACAAGCGAATAGTGTTCATAGCAACCAGGCCTCTTGAACCACCGCAGCTTCGAACTTCGGCTCAACCCCTGGGCATCGTCTCTCCCAAAAGACTTGGGGACATGTATCTCATTAACAGACATCTGTTTGTATGCATGTATGCATACACGCACGTGTACCTGTATGTAGACGTGGATGTACTTGTATATGCATGTATGCATGTATGTATGTATGTATGTATGTATGTACAGATCTAGGTATGCATGCAGGCCAAGAGCGTTTACATGTTTATATGTATTTACGTGTATGTGTATTACCACATATATATATATATTTATATATATATACACATTCTGTACACATACCTACATACATACATGCATACTTACATACATACATGCAAACAAATAGACAAATAGACAGACAGACAGACAGACAGACAGAAGGACAGACAGACAGACAGACAGACAGACAGACAGACAGCCAGCCAGCCAGCCAGCCAGCCAGCCAGACAGACAGACAGACAGACAGACAGACCCAATTACATACTCCTGTTATACTACATATTCTTATATTCTGTCATATTATATTGTTTTATATTACTATAGTATAGTATGGCACAGTATAGTATAGTCTAGTAGAAGTGTGCAAACATACATCATATTTCTCATTATTGTGCTATTGTGCATTATGCTATGTTCCGCTATGCTTTGCCATGCTATGGTCTGTACTGTCATGATATTATGATATTTTTGCGTATTTTAGTTTACAGGTAGCATTACAGTATAGTATTAGTCATAGTATACTCTTTTATCTTACTATGATTAATTATTTTGTTACAATTATTATGTTATATTGTATTACACTACATCATATTTATATCGTGTTATGGTATGTTAAGTTATGTTACAGCACTGATATACTATCGTATGTTGGTTAGACTTCATGGTAGCACGGTGATGCACCGGCGAAGGTACCATGTCAACCTGATATTTATTAAAGCGTGGATGCGAAGCCGCAGCCGCGGCGAGCCCGAAAGACACCGGCGCGAGAAGCGGAGAGCTCGCAGGATTGAAGAGGATGTCCCGAGACACAGGCACACAGCCACACAGCCAGACAGACAGACAGACCGACAGACCGACGGACCGACGGACGGACAAAGAGAGAGAGAGAGAGAGACACACGAGACAGACTGAGAGAGACAGACAAACAGACCGACAGACAGACAGACAAACAGACCGACAGACCGACAGACAGACCGACCGACAGACAGACAAACAAACAAACAGACCGACAGGCAGACAGAGACAGACAGACAGAGACAGACAGACAGAGACAGACAAAGACAGACAGAGACAAACAGAGACAGACAGAAAGACAGACAGACAGACGATGGGCTGAAAGAGAGCTACAGTACTAGGTGAAGGGGCGACCCTGCAGCTGAAGATTGCATGGTTGTGGTGCCCGGTAGCTTCTGGAGGGCCAGTGGCATCGAGGAAGACTTCAACCGAGACCACCAAGGTGTTGCGACAAGATTGGCCGTGCCATGTAATGTAACTCCTCCCTTCCTTCGAGCTCTTACCACTATAAGAGCAATCATTTTTTCTGACAATGGGCAGGGCTACGTGGGAAGAAGCCTTGCTCCAGCTTGCTACGTTCCCCTCCCCCAGCTGGAGAACATCCCTTCTCTCCGACTGCCGATTACTCGGGTCGCCTTTATACGATATTGTGATGACAACGCATTCTCTCTCTGCCAACCTGGCTCTCCCTCCGCGACCTCCCTGACCCTTGTCAAACTGACTCCGAGCGAGAAAGCAGCTCGAGACGAGACAGAGGGGATCATGCAAATTGGACAAAAGCAACGAACTCCATGGCGAGTCTGGCCTGCCACAGCCTCCGTCTCTGCCTCCGCTTTCGAGTCCACAAGCGTTTGGACCTCAAACTTTGTCATTGAGCGGACGTGTACCTTACATGTAATTATCCTTGCATGTAATTGAAACGAGATATGCACGCGTTTGGGCTGCGTAGCCGTGGCAAGACGGACAAGCGAAAAGGGGCTTCTGTGCGGTGGTGATCGCCTACCGACACGCCACCTCTCCTTCCAACGATCGAAGCTGGAATCAAAAGCCTGCCGAAATCCGAAACCTGTCTTTGCCTAAAGTCCATCATCCCACGGTCCCACGCCCCTCACTCTTGTGTCCGGAAGAGCCGAGGCACGATGCTCACATCTTCGGCCCCATCTGGGCTGCTATGGGAGCAGCAAGCACAAAACATCCTGGCTTGGCCTACGAATCTTCGGTGCCTTTGAGCTGAACACTCCCGCGGCATGTATGGTGTGGTCGAGGGCAACGGCGAGAACTCTGCACCGCTTCAAGACCCGGCCTTCTGCCGTAATTACTGGATGTGGCACATACTGGTTACCAGTGCAACTTCTCAACTGTAGACTGCAAATGGACGACGTCTGCGTTCAAAGCCGACCCCAAGCCTTGATGAACTGCGCTCCCGATTCAACTTCAAACGTCAGGAGAGAACAGGTAAGGAAGCTTTACAACACAACCCAACACCATGTTTGTGATGTTGGCCTTCCCACATTCCGGAAAAGCGTGGTGCAGGAAGAACACATTCCATGGAGGCCGTGTGCCTCCTACTGCAACGTAGATCGTCCAACCGAGCATATTAGTTTATTGGTCCAAGCCAGCCGCTGCAAAACCGCATCAATCCTGGACACGAGATGACACGACGCCTCCTCCCACTTCTGCTCTGCTTCAGCCCGGGCCAGGGCCTCACGACCTGGGCGTTCGCACAGATCTCAGCACAGATCCCAAAAGGGGAGGGGTCCTGGACCCAGAGGCTCCTCTTGGCCCTGGACAGCCAGCTGCTGCCACCTCGCTCTCCGAGGCAAGAGCCTGCAGCGCTCACTGGGTTTTTCTGAGGACCTTTTTTGGAAGTCGCGCGCGGCAGGATCCCCACAACTCGGGCTCTGGAGGCTTGAGGAGTTCCGGCAACTGACGCCGGCAATTCTGACTCCTGATGCGGTTGCTGCATATGATCACGTGCGTCGCTCCTGGTACACATGCCATTCTTCATGCCTACGGTCCGTAAAGCTGCTTCCCCTCAGGGCCTGCAATGCCACAGCATCTCCCAAAGCACGAAGGCATTCCGCAGGGGCAGGCTCGGGGACCTGCTGGCCGAGTGGCCACGAACTGGAATGCTCCGTGGAAGAATCTGGCGATGCACCCTACCGCGATATCCGCAATCGTTTACCCGGCCCAACTGACTAGCCCAACACCCTTCATGAGATCCTCAAGCGCTGTCACCAAAGCCCCAGCAGCCAAGCTCAACCCGAGATCCAATGCCTCCGCCTCAGCGTCGGCCTCCTTCGGGGCATTCTTCCGCCGGACCAACCTGCTGCTAGGATCTGCTAGAGCACTGACGTCATCAATTGGCGTCAAGTATCCACAAGTCATTGTTTGCAGCAGTTCCCTTGTTATGCCACCATGCTTGAGAAGGGTGTGCAATAACTGCCAGAACGCAACCCTCAACGATCTGCAGAGTCTACTGCTACTCCCGAGCCCCTCGTATTCAAGAGCCTCCTAAGGCCCTAAAGCATCCGTCCTTCTACACCTCGCTCAACACCCCCAAAACACCTCCTGTCTTGGCCGCGCGCTTAGTTGCAGTCATTTAAGGAGCAACTCTTGGACGAGTCAGGACAACGGCGGCATCATTACATGCGGCATGCCCGCCCGGTTTGTGCAAGCTCTGCTCTGGGCTCTCGGTGTTAGAGGCGCACTAGATCAACTGCTATGTGCTGCACGCACCCCAATCTGCACTCCAATTTTCAGACCGGTCATGGAAACAGCAGGCCCGCGAAGCTACTTGGTGTTGCAAGGATCTCACCGCCTTGCTTTTCCCCATGCATCCGGCCTCTGCCTTTGCCTTTGCAACTCCTGCAATTATGCTCGAAGTCGGCTTTCGATTGGCAGTGCTCGAACTCTGCAGTTGCAGCTAGCACTGTCGGCAAGACTATAATCAAGAAGCCCAGGAGCTGAAGCCACCGGCGCATCCCTAAAGATCTTGGTGTGTGTTGTGCCGGTATACCCTAACCATGAGGGCGTACTGTTTTACAAGAGACCAAGGACCAGAACGTCTCCTCGTCGAATTGCAGGGCTCGGCGGGCAGCCAAGGCTAGAGCAGTCCTTAAGTAAAAGCGGGGGAGGGGAGGGCAGGGGAGGGCAGAAGGCGGGAGGGTTTTTTGTTGTGCAGTTGCCGGACTGGGAGCCCTTGTTGTCGACTTCAAGGGCGCTTGGAGGCTGCAGAGGGAAAGAATCTCACACGACATGTCCCTATATTCGGGCTTTAACGAAGTCACCGGAAGCATCCACGCCCCCCATTGGCATAATTTCTCACTCAGGCAAGTCAGGCCCTGTCCCTCTAAGCCCTCGACTGCTTCTCCGCATCATCCACAGATGTGTCGAAGACCTTACGTAGAGATGTTGCCGACGCGGATGCGGGAGCCGAAGCAGCCTGCGTGACGCAGCCCCATGTCCAAGCTGGCGTCGAATCGCCGCTGCTCGTGCATCGGATGCGCCAATCGCATGCAACCGAATCTGAGGTAGATGGGGCGCATTGGGGCGCGTGCATAGCTCACAGACAGCAACAGGCTGCCCAATCCCTCCAAGCGCCGCTTCAAAGCGTTCGTGCACAAAGCCCACCTCCGCCAATGACTCCAAGTCCGATGCCAGCTCCTGCCTGAGGGCGTTCACTCTTTGGCTTCAGGCAGTTGCTTTTGGCTTTTGGTGAGTTCTCCGAGTCACTATCTTGATATAGACAGTCCACTGTCCACTGGCAGTGACAGCTAGTGGCGCAAGAATAGGATGTCAAGTGCTGCTCTCAATGCTCACACCCCCTGTTTCACGCCCCATTTTGGGACCATGGCCTTCCACGAAACCCAGAGCTACTTGTATGAGGCCGGTGCCACAAGTTGAGAAGCTCCTGCCACGCGGCACCTGCAGGCACGAAACAATTGGTGGCGCCAAGCAAAAAGGCGAAGACATAGACATCCTTCCTCCATCCGAGACAGGATCTGGAGGTGCCAGCACAGGAAAGGAGTCTGGGGATTCAGCCGGTGATCCGAATCATGGAGCCTACAATCAGCCCTGCAAGCTGGGGCTCGAACGGCTCTCGGCGGCATGGGTCTCTGCCGCATCGCCTGCCACAGCAGACTCAAATGAGGCTCGGGTCGGGGTGTGAAAAGCAAGTTGCAAGGTATCAGGTATCGTTGCTTTATCGGAGGTTGTCTGGATAAGCTTCCACGTCGAAACATTCACGCTGCAATGAGGTCTCTAGCCCTGCTACTTGGGCGATTCCACCCTGGCTGCTCCGTCAGGTGCTCCTGCCTTCCCTGCGAAACACCCTTGGACCATTCACGGTTGCAGCAGGATCGATCACAGTCGACACAGCAACACAGAACCAAAGCTAAGTTACGAGAATACCGCAGGCATCCAACCCATGACCATTCAACTAGGTTCCCCAGTACCCCCTTAATAATAAGGGTACCCTTTTTCCTAAGGTTTAAGGAGGCCCCCAAATAAAAAGGGCAAAAGGGTACTACTGGGGAACCTAGTCAAAACAAACAACAAGTTCGACAGCACATCTCTGTCTAGTTTCCTTGCGTGAGCCCTTCAGATTCGAGAGAATAGACTACGTAATATGCGATCGGCCACCGGTATCAACCAAGAAGACACACACGCAAACACAGCCCAGAAGCTGCTAAAGACCGCATTGCATTGGGGCACGGGGTTTGCTACGAGAGAGTCCAGAAGATGCGGACACTTGGCGCCAACTGGAAGGCATGCCCGTCACACTTCGCTGAATATAAGATTAAGATGCCATTCACGATCGTACAGACCCAAACGTACAACAGCCTGCAAGCCAGGTAGCCTCGTGAACAGCACACATGCCAGACTCAGACTACAAAGCTGCAAATGATCATCCGGGGCCTGTGAATACAACATTCTTGTTGCGTCAGCTGCGGCAGTTGCATATAGATGTCTTCAAAGCGGTTGGAACCCGAAACATGGGAAGAAGCCCATGTCTGGGGTGGCACCGATACAACGCCTGACACTGTTGATTCTCTCTCCACATCTTGCGGCACCCCCCGCCTGGCACCTTGTTCATGCCCTCCTCGCACTCTCTCGTACCTGCAGTTGAGAAACGCGCAGCGCTCAATTTAACTCAGAATGTATGGTGCGAGGGTGCAACACAAGGCTCTTCGAAACTGAAGGTTGACGCAGTGAGAGAGACGTAAAGACTCTTCGCAGAGCAAGCAACGACGCAGTGGCAACCATTTTGGGCTTTCAAGGTTGAGCTTGCTGGCTCGTGCACAGCATCCCTTTACAGAAGCAAATTGACACCTGCAGCATTCCGGACTGCTGGAAGCTTGTCCGAAGCATGATTGAAAGGCCCTAGGTTGCAAGCTGCAGAAAGAACAGCTCCTGTCAACCAATCCCCTACCGGCCCTACCACACTCCAACTGACCATGTCGACGGAGCTTTCTGCCACTGCATGTGCCCCCGTAGTGCTGGCGGAATACTCCAAGACGCCAAACTCCTCCGACCCTCCCCGCCAGAATCGCCTAAACAGCCCCCCGAATCTTTCCACAGCGAGCTGCCTTCAGCGAGCTCCTGTCGCAGCTTCTGAACCTCCAATCAGAGCAGGGCTGTCTCCAAGAAGGGTATTGAACGTGGGGCATGTTGATTTTCCACAGGCTGCGGCAACATGCCGTGTTCAACGAAGGTTCGGGCATAGCTTGGACACGCTTGCCCAAAGCTCAGTACAAGTCTCACATCCTTGCACAATGGCTTGAATCTCAAGTTGTTGTGGGTGCAGATGCACATGCCAGTACAGGATAGACGCTAAACCACTGCAGCTCGTCTTAATTAATTGCTGTGGAAGGGGACACGAGTTCAAGCAACAGCCATTCGACTGGACTCGTCCTACACGTCCCCCAAGCCTCGGTCGTTCGGAGACCATCACGGAGCTCGTCCGCACCAGCGAGGGCCGTACCTGCACAGGCCACACGACCTCTGCCGAAGTTGCGGTCGATTGCTTGTAAAAGCTTCAAGGCTAAAGTCTCGCCAAGAAGGGACAGCTGGAACCACTCGGCTTGACAGATCCCAAATACAACATGCCGAAAAGACCTGTGGCATCCATGGCAACTCTCAGCCTTTTCTGGCGATCTTGGCTTGACCAAGACTCAATGTCCGTTTCTATAACAGCTCTCGCCGACTGCCTGCTAAGGGCTGCAAGGCAGGCCGCAGTTAAATCTTGGCAAGCCACGCCCCCTCTGAGGGCAAAGCTGTGTGCCTCCTAAACTACGGACAAAAACGTGCTATGCAGGGCCAAAAACGACCAAATGTCGGCTGCCTAGTTTCGAGCTCGACCTGACACTCTCTTGAGGTTCTTGGTTTCGGGGGTGATGGCCTGATTTGCCCTACAACTCAAGCGCAACTCCTTTGTGGCATTTGCCCTGGTAGTGCTTCAGGTCCTGTGGAACATGCGACTGCAAGGTGCAAGGTGCACATTTGCTGCGTGCATTGGATTCGGATACTGCTTAAAAAGTTGTCAAGAGCTGCTTCTTCAATGCTAGCTGCCGGTGCCGGGTGTCCCGAGTTCGGGCGCATTGTGGTTGTGATTGTGGTTGTGGTGCCCAACTTACAGTTCCAGCCATGTCAACATTCAAAGATCCCTTGAGTGGTGCAAAAGGTCCTTCAGCGTCATGTTGCTCAGGAGGGTGGTGACGTGGAGCGGTCGAATGTTGCATGCATCTTTCGGGTCGCAGAGTAGCTTGTCGAAGGTCCCTTTCAACGCCGCCTCGGCAACGGGATAGCAAAGCTCGGCTTTACAAATGTCTACGAAACTGAACACCGAAAGCCAAAATCCTGGCGAGCCAGCGCCCCGAGCCACACAGCATGACGGGGATGACGGAACAGGATAAACAAATGCACATACACTCATTATAGTCATGTATGTGTGCGCATGTGTAGAACTGCGCATGCGTGCCGAACATACCTACGATGACGTACATATACTGAGTATCTTGCAGAAAGCAAGGCTTCTTGTGACACTCACACTCGGGCAAGCCTGGCAAGGTCTGTAATACTGGTTCGGACCTTGCTTTAATCTTCCCCTTCTTCGGCTCTCGTGGCCTTGTAGTTCAGGTAGCCCTGAAGAGCGATGTCACCCAGCTCCGCATCTACGCCGGAGTCCTCCACGATCCTGGGATGGTTGCGCGGATCTTGCTTTGCGCAGTCTCGGTGGTCACGCTCGGATATTCCGGGCAAGGCAAGTTTGCAGCGGTCTTGTTGGCGTTGGTGGTAATATTACAATACATACACACACACACACGCATATACACACATATATCAAGCTCTGAACCGAAACCCGCACGTATGGCAGAGCCGATTCAGTCGGCCCTGACTTATAGGGAGAGGACAGTACCGACGGGCAATCGCAGCATTTAGAGAGTTTAGGTGTAGGGTCCTACCTTGAGTCCCATGTCATTCGTGGGTGGAGCGGGTGTTGGAGCAGCCAAGTTTCTGCGCTTGTAGCTCGCGCTCGATGTTCAGCGTCATTGGCGCCTGGGCCGTTGCTTTGAGGAAACCGAGAAGCGATCCACATCATGAACTGTTGGAGTGAGACCACGTGTACAAAGTGACCCTTTCTCTCTCTGCCTTGCCTGTGAGTGTGAAGACCGGGGTGCAACACACTCTTGCGGAGCCTGCTGCTGTTTGTCACGCCGCTGTGAGACACTTTTCCAGCCTCTATGTAGTCTAACCTCTCTCTCGCTCGCAGGGTGACCCTAAACCGCGCGTCTGCTTCAAAGTCTCACAGACATCGCCCCCGTCGTCGCATGCGATCTAGAGGCGTGGTCCGGACCATAGGTGTCTTCGTGACTTCGGACCAAGCCTCTGCCGAAAGCCTGCAATGAGGTCTCTGTGTGGCTCTGTGGTTTCACGCACTGAAGAAGGCTGCGCCCGGCCTCCAGGCACACCATCTCGAAAGCCAGGGATTTCAGGCGGTTCCCAGGCCTTGCTGCAGAGTGCTTGGAAAGGACATCCATCTGATAAGAAAAGCCCTGGAGGCCGGCGAGTGACTCGCCCTGCCGCAGCTTCTCAAAGGCCACGTCTTTCGGCTGGCCCTTGAGCCTAAGAGCGGAAAAAGCGGGATTCGTTTTTTCTCAGCCTAGGTCTTCGAATTTCTGAAGCCAAAGAGGCATCCATTGCGACCCCTCGGGAGAGCTGATGTCTCTGAGCCTTAGGTATTTTCACTCGGGTGTGACTCAACTCGCAGAGTGCGTGAGTTACCTATGCGCGCGATGTAGCACCCAAGGATTCATGGTTGTCAGACTGCCTGCAACTTGTCTCAGCTGGAAACTCGAGTGATCTGTCGGATCTCAGGACAAAAGAAACAGGAATCCTTGATGCTGAACGAGCCGGTGGTAGCCAAGCCGCAAGGCATCGTAGAAGCCCCGGTATTGATAGTGGTTCAAGACGTACCTCCCCATCACGAACTCAGGTCTGACATCAGAGCGCTCGATGTCCACTGAAGACTTGCAGTCTCCGACAGATCCGAAAGCAGCTACTGTAACCGGCTTTGTTCAGAACGGATACCAGACAGAGAGCAAAATCGTGGCCCAAAGGAGTTACCAGAGCTCAGGCGGCTGTCCGGACCTGCCTCCGAAGGCCACCTTCAAATTTATAGCCATCAAGGCCTTATTTTTAGTCCTACCCCGTGCAGTGCGGACTCGTCCGCGAGCCCTCAATTCCAAGCAGACCAAAGCCCTGCAAAGTACCCGGACTCCGAAGTTTGGAGGTGCTGTCCAATGGCCCCCATGCTCCAATCGGCCCCATACGATATGGGAATCGCTCACACTCTGCTCAAGCGAGCCTTTGAAAATCAAGTCAGCCTCAGAATGTCTCATCCCGACCCTCCTGGCCTCTTCTTTCCGACGTTGCATGGCTGCGTGCAGCGCGGCACGCCTCCATGCACGTCGTACACGCCTCTTGCCTTCGGAGCTACAGGTCCAGTTGGAGAAAAAAGCTGACACTGGTCTGGTTCATGCAGCTATTTTTAAGGCAGAACATGCTGAGATCTCATGCTGGAGACATGTCACCCGAGAATAACAACAAGAGACCAAGCCCCACCTGCACTGAACCCAGCATTAACGGCCTTAAATTAACGCGGAAGATCAAAGAAACAGAGCAAAAAAGGAAGGGCCTCTGCACAAGCCCCTTCGGTATTTTCAATCTCAATATGCCGCCCAAAGCACGTCAGGAATGAAGGCCTTGCTTTTGACCATGCCTTTGAGCCTAGGCTTCTCGGCGCTTCGGCCACCACTGCTGGCTTTGCAAGGTTGCAAGTTCCTTTTTGAGACTGTCGGCATGCGCCCTCAATCATGTAAGTGTCTGATGTTAGCTTCAAGGCAAGGGATTCGAGATATTCAGCTAAGATGGGTCTGCATGGCATGAGGCTGACGCCTGCCGCTCGCAGGAACTGCAAAAGAGTAGCTCAAGCAAGTTGCCTCGAAACCGTAACAAAAATTTCATTGCATGTGCCTAGCTGCATCTGTGCGAATACACGAACCATAACCATAACTGCAGCGGGGAAGCAGGTGATGTTAAACTTACCCTCTCGCTACACTGTAGAAGTTGATCAGACTTTCTTCGCCTCAGAGTTTGAATCCCGAACCTTCCTTGAAAGCCTTTCGCATTGCAAGTCATTTGGAATTTAGAAAAGCTGCCCCACACAGGGCAAAGGATATGGCCTGCCAAAGGTGTTTCTGCATGCGTGCGGATACGGGGCAAGGGCTTTTTTGGGAGTCTGGGAATCTTGCATGTTGTCAGCAGATATCGCGGCATTGGTTGGGTCGCACAGTGTTAGTCATTAGTCAGCTTGCTCTGGAACGACAAAGCTGGCAAGGTTAGGCCGAGTCTAATCAATGGCTGTCCTAGTTCGTCTCTTGAGAACCCCTGACAACTTATAAATATGTAGGTATACATATATGTATACATACATTGAGAGAGAGAGAGAGAGGGAGAGATCAGAGACATGATAGCGGAGACTTTCAGTCTGTGCACGGACCGGTAGATGCACGCGAGATTTGAATCTGGTCAGCAACGGCTTTGGTGAATGAAAGGCTGTGACGAAAGAGTCAGCCGACACAAACCTACATCGACGACGAGCTCTTCTTGTGTTTATAAGGCAATGATTGGTTGCTTGCCGTGCACGTGCTCTGAGCAGGTCTTAACTTTTCAGCCGACAGGGCACTTCTCGGCGAGATATAAAGGGGACTGCTACAATTCATCAAGGCTACGCAGCACGATCTTTCAGGTTCGGGGTCGGAGCCTCGCCACCCCATGTGTCGTGTCGGAGGGGTAGCAGAGCCACTGCAACTCAAACCTCAGCTTCCAAGGACTTAGAGCTGCAAGGGCCTAGTCCCCGGAATCTGACCCCCTACGAAATGACAGCTGCTTCCCCGGCAATGCTTCCCCTGTCCGAGCCGACAGCTAAGGCAAGGCTGCAGTGCAAAAAATTGCTGGCTTGACAATGCAGGTATCAATGCTGAGGGACATGTCCGCCTCCGGCTCGAGTTCCACTATCTTCTGCAAGCTGAACTCCGGTGGTCGCAGAAACTCATCCACATCCTTATCGCTTCGCAACCCATCAGCGTCCCTGCAATCTCTGGAATATCTGGAGATCATCACAAGGGGGTGTGACAATGACATGATGTCTAATGGGCTTTCCCAAACGGCCCCTGGCATGCACAAAGTTCAGGATCTTCCATGCGCATCCAGGACGGAGCCTTGCCCGTCGACCCAGTCAGGAATGCACGAACTATGAGACAGCACGCTGGCTGCCCTCAGTGTTCAGGACTGCCCGCGTGAACATGTCTCCGCTCACCCACACCCACACACATACACACCTGCCCACACGCCTAGCTAGTGATACCCACGACTTCCTCTTCATGATCCAGATTTCAAGCCGTGGATCCACATCAATGATCC